CAAAGGAGTCAGTGTGCTAAAATTTCTTCATTTTCCTTGTTTAGAATCAGAGGTGCTAGTTTCAAATACTTTTTAGTCTGAAATCTGTATGCTAGATATTGAATAAGGTGGTTTTATTGTTTTTTTGTCACTTTGAATAATATTTCTGTTCATGTTAAAAACAAAATCAACTCTCTGTATAAATATATCAGGTGACCGTTAAGGCCCATGGGCCTCTTGTTTAAAGTAAGTTCCGTTGGTGTGTGAACACTTCGGTTTAAACCTGAAAACCCGATTAACCTGTAAACCTGATATATCGCCAAACTCCTTATACCGCCAAAATCACAGAGGACAGAAAGTGGCGGTAAAACGAGGTTTAACTGTACCAGTAGATTATAAATGGCACTGAACTTAAATTATAGAGGTAGCACACCAACCTAATACTGGTAGATTGCTACATGGAACTGGATATGCCGAATGGTACAGAATACAAGAATAGAGACGGCAAGCTCTGAACATCAGGCCCAGGGGTACATAACAGGTTAGATGACACAAGCAAAGATCTTGCACACTCTGATGTCAAATTATATGAGCCACAACAAACACCAAATTTTACTTAGATCAATTGTAATTTACTGATCTGATAACATGCCTACTTAACAATAAGGTATAATGTTTACTACTGTGTATATGAAACAAAGTCATACATTTTCTTATATCAAATACTGTACAATGTGCAACTTTAATGAAAATGTTGAACTGCGGACTGCATAAGAAAGTAACAAGAATGTTTCATGTTAATACAAGCTTCAATCCTACACGTTTAGTCATCATGACAGCACAAGACATAGTTTACTGCAGAGGTCATATCTTTTCAAATTCCTTTTTTGGGATCAGTTCATCATCCATACAAAAGTGAGTCTGTAAACTTGATTAAAATTGAAAACATCAAATATTGTCCACTTCCTTGATTTTAACAAAAACATAAAGAATGCAATGATCGTTATTGTTGGAACTGTTTGTCCCTATAGTACCAGACAGCTGATATTATACATTGTTGGAACTGTTTGTCCCTATAATACCAGACAGCTGATATTATACAACTGATATTGTTGATCTTGGCTTTTGATATTTGTCAGCTCTACAGTCCTTGCAGTGTAAATCAGCAGTGTTACAGTCCAATGGTATAAGAGCGTCCAGAAGGGTTATGGATGGGTATCACGCGGGGTTTTGTGACCAGCCATTCATACCACACGTTCTTAGCACTGACACACCTCCAGATTTCTACAGAGAGTTTTTCCCCTTTCTTTAGGTACTGCGGAACCTGAAAATAAATTATACCTGTATCAAATTTTGTACACTTGTTTTTATATCCTTCAATACCTTGAAAACGTATTCTCCAAGACCTGCAATGTATCAGGAAATATGTTTGAAAGCAAATTAGTTTCATACCAAAAAAACTAATAAGAATATGCCTTTCAACTAGTTTCAAGTACAAGAAGTTATAGATAGGGTATTCTTTATTGAAGGATTGAAATGTATGCTTATAATCATTTAACAACACAGTTCTGTCCAGACATATTCCTTTTGGATCACAATATGTGTTATGTGCCTTAACCACTCAGCCTCTGCAGCCCCCTTAGCCCTTTCATCCCTATGTAACTTTAGTAGACTCTACCATGCATTGATCTGGATGAGTCCATTATGGTCTACAGTGGTGAAAGGGTTATGGACTACTACGGGAAATGTAAATACAATGTACAAACAAGTGATGTTCATAGACAGGTACATTTTTAAAAAGGTTTCACTATTTTACTCCTATAGTTATTGAAAGTTTGTTCTGGCAGAGGACCTCACTGTACCTAATTGTACCTACCTTTATTGGAAACAAGATCGGGAACCAGCTGAACATCCCTGTCGAATGTGTAGAGGGAAGGATACCTAGAGAATACAAGGAGGCTATAATGTAACAAATGGCTGGGCATCCTTTGGTTACACAAGTTTTTATAATATTTACAGCATTTTTAATGTAGCTACAAAAATAAAATATTAAAGATGATATACATAAAACCTAAACAAGACAATGTCTTTTCTTGACAAGTGAAAATTGAATTACAATTTCAAACTCATGGAAATACCTTGATAATGTGAAATTTACACCAACTACATACTGTAATAACCTTTAAAAATTAGAATCACTCATTTATGATCAGAAGGGCAAATGACCTGATACAGCACTTACTTAGCATAACATCACCGTAGAGTCTTGTGTCAAAGTAGCCGGCAAGACCATGCAGCACCGAATTCTCCTCTACAGCAAACTCCAGAGTGGCATACCGACTGTTGTCTATCACCTTTTCTGTATCACAGTATAAACAATGTCAAAAGTTTGATAATTGATATGTACCGGTAGGCGTTTTCAGATTTCAGGCGAGTAATACCGTAAATGTTTTTTTTTATTTCTGGTATATCAGTATACAGTGTTTTTGTTACCTACCAAGTTTTACAACAGCCTGTTCCTTTATGAATTGGAAAAATAAAGCATTGTTTGTATTAAAATTGGGAATATATTCCTCAATCTTTTGGTAATTTTGGGAAAATAAGGTACTTTTCAGCTAGGGGAATAGTCTGTATTTGGCAGTAAAACTGAGCAAAAAATAATTACTGGTATAATGTCACAATGATAACATCCATTGTCGGAGAATATAGACTTCAATTTCAGCACAACATATAAAGAAATTAACCAGTTTAAGTGAGAAGTAAGACAACTGTGGACAGTTTATATCCGTTTTGAGTTTGTCCCAACTTTGATATCCTGGAATTGTTTTTGTAAAGAAGCATGTCCAAACTTGGACAAGTCTACATGTTTTATTGTACCTCAGTACTATCGTTATATATTGGAGCCTAACATAGAGCTTTAGAATAGGAAAACATTTGCCAGATGCATCTAAATCAGGAATTTTACCAAGTGAATCATGTTTTGGAAAATTTTTAAAGATTTTGGAAAATTTAAGAAGCAGTTCTGATCTTTAGGTGTAATATATTATATGAAGCCCACAATCAAGAGCTTACATTAATTTTTTTTAATCTGTAGCAAGTCTTGGGGACATAATAAGAACATATAACTGGTGGAATTCAATCCTTGTGCAGATTTTTAACCTGTAAAACAGTGTAGAACACAATGTGAAATGGCTTCCAACTTACCACGGTTAGGATGATGAAAGTGAAAGGCTGGCTTGGGTTCAGCGATCAGCTGGCAGTTGTGGAGGCGCACCACGTATGGCATCTCAAAGTTATACTGTTCAACAGAAAATTGAGAAGAAACAATCAGGCTTGTGTAACAGACCGTGGCTGCTCAATACAAACCCCAAAGCTCTAAAATGTAAGTCTCTAACCTTCATCACTGAGACACAAAGCATGACCTAATGACCTACCTCAAGTGGCTTGTCCTTTTCCTTGCATGATTTGACCTCGTTGTGGAGTTTCTCTGATTGGAGGGGTGCCAAATAGGACTGATATTCACAGGGGATGCTGATTCCATCATCTGCAAAGGGAGATCACTCTCATCATCAGTTCTTATTTTAACACCAGCTACAAATATCTCAAGTCATGTAGCAACAGCTTTAGCCCCAAACCATCAAGTTATTTTGCTAATTTCCATAGAACAGTGAAGAAAAACACACCATTATGAGAGATATCAAGAAATGAAGTAACCATTTCATTTTTTGACAACCTCTGAATATCAAAACTTGTATAACATTCCAAGTATTTGATTCTAAGACAAGGTGTGGAAACAATCAAAACCACTCCAACAATGAAAGGAGAACAAATACAATGTATATATGGCCTTATTAAACTTTCTAATACCTCAATGTCTCCCCCTAAAGGTTCGTCGATAGAACACATCTTCTTTATCCAAGAGTATATTTTCTTAAGAGGCAACTAATGCAGAGTCCCCACTGGAAGTATCAGACGATTTCTTCTTCTGTATTCTACTTTTAATTGGGGACATTAAATACACAGAAATTGATCCACTTGGCCTAATGCAACACTTAGGAGCTCTGTCTACCCACTCTTTTGGTTGTGCCTCCCTACACACTTGTCTATATATGACTCAATCTGTTACTAGGATGTAACCTGAACTTCACAAAACCTAAATACATATAATCTTCAAAGAACTCCTGATGGCTGGTACCAATATTCATGAATCTTTACCTCGGTTCCTGTAGATTGAACCTTCTACATGAGAAAAAGTTTGGTTGTGTGGTCAGATTTAAAAGTGTTGATCAAACTTCGCATAGGAATGAGTTATTACTAGTTGTTTACCTTGTAAGAACCTCTGAGCCCCGTCTAAACATTCAGGTGAAAGCTCATTGTCTCCAAAGGATCCAAGTAGCTCACTGACCAGGATGTCTGCCTTTTCTGGTGCCTGCCACTGACGCATGTCGCATGAGATCACATCCACCTGGTCGCCCCACATCTCGTCTTTCATGTTCTCTAGACTACACAATAAGTGAAACATTGACATAAGACCCTTCCCAGCAAAATCTAAGCCACCAATTTGATTACAAAGATTCAACTTATTTATTGAAAAATAATGAAAGATGAAGTCCAGTAGAATATATTTTAAATGTGCCAGAACTTTAAGAAGTCAATCACCCAAGCTGTCAAAAACTTATCTCAGACACCAGGGAGCTGGAACAAATATTTAATTTATGCATTAAATTAAACGTTCAATAAAGGGAAACAACCGGGTATCAGAACAGTTGACTTCAGGTGTTATAAGGTACCTTATAAAAACAGTTAAAAGTTTCATTCTAATACGAAATAAACTAGCATTGTGTCTTTTACTCTTAATATCAGGTAAATGAGTGGACACTTGAACATTTTGAATGTATATCTTTGAGTTGACTTACGTAACAACAGCGTTGGGATTTTTTTCCACAGCGTAGAGTTTGCGTATTTTACGTTCCGCCTGGTATGCCGCGGCCAGTGCAGCTCTGACGAGTGGTCCTCTGCCTGCCCCTACTACCATCAGCACTCTGTCAACACAACATCACATCAACTGTACATATCTTTACTGTCCAGTCCACTTTGTCCATTTATCAATAATATTATGTTTCAATCATGCTAGCTACATAAAAGCTGAAATATTTAAATGTAGTCTTGTCGGGTGAATTTGTTTTCATTCAATCGAGCAATATGCAGTGACTCGTATTATGTACAGGGTAAGTTTTTGATATGTATGAGGTAGGTGTTTGATCAATTAATAAGAACAAGGTAGATATTTGAATACTTACACGCTCTTTGTTTCTTTTTCCTCAGGAGGAATCCTATCCAGTAAAGCACAATAAATTGCCTAAACATACAAAAAAAACATGATCAATCATTGAACTTTTCTTTTCATTTTTATTTTAACCTATGTCTCCTACCATTATTTCTTTTAACTTTTTTACATGATCCCCAAATGCATTAATTAGTCATTAAGAACCTGTTTTTTTTATTATCACAAGATGCATCTACCAGAAATACAATTTTTACTATGATTACCACATGATGCGATGTTTGATTGACCCCGATATGTAACTAACATTTATGTACCTTTGGATTTGTTCCCATATGTAACATGTAACTAACATTTGTGTACCTTTTGATTTGTTCCCATATGTAACATGTAACTAACATTTACATTTTGTATGTACCTTTTGATACTGCGAGTATTTCACTGGATCCTTCTCAAAAATCTCATAGGTTTGTGACTCCAGGTTATCCATCAATGGCTGAAATCAAAATATCATTCAAGTGAAAAAAGAGAAGGAAATGCGGCTATTTGAACAATGAACATCTCATATTCTAGATAGTATGATAAAAAATAACGATTTCCATTTCATTCACTTATGAAAGTACATGATTTTGGAAATTTCCCCTAATTTCTCTTTTTAGCTCTGACACCAGACTCTCACTAATATGAAACTTAAACAGAAAAAAACTTATACATGTAATGATAAATGAATGTTATCTGAACTCATATATATCTCCATAAATAGCATGTATGATGACTTGAACCAGTGTTAAGAGTAAATTCTTATATTAAACATGAAATAGCATAAAGACTTAACCCTTCCCAGTAACTAATGATTAGTATATCTTTCCTGTTATAGATGTAATGACTGGCCTAAATCCTCCTGTAACTCATGTAATTATTAGTATATCTTTCCTGTTATAGATGTAATGACTGGCCTAAATCCTCCTGTAACTCATGTAACAATTAGTATATTTTTCCTGTTATAGATATAAGGACTGGACTAAATCCTCCTGTAACTCAGGTAATAATTAGTATATCTTTCCTGTTACAGATGTAATGACTGGACTAAATCCTCCCGTAACTCATGTAATGATTAGTATATTTTTCCTGTTAGAGATGTAATGACTGGACTAAATCCTCCTGTAACATGAAATAGCATAAAGACTTAACCCTTCCCAGTAACTAATGAGTAGTATATCTTTCCTGTTATAGATGTAATGACTGGCCTAAATCCTCCTGTAACTCATGTAATGATTTGTATATCTTTCCTGTTATAGATGTAATGCCTGGACTAAATCCTCCTGTAACTCAGGTAATAATTAGTATATCTTTCCTGTTACAGATGTAATGACTGGACTAAATCCTCCCGTAACTCATGTAATGATTAGTATATTTTTCCTGTTAGAGATGTAATGACTGGACTAAATCCTCCCGTAACTCATGTAATGATTAGTATATTTTTCCTGTTAGAGATGTAATGACTGGACTAAATCCTCCTGTAACATGAAATAGCATAAAGACTTAACCCTTCCCAGTAACTAATGATTAGTATATCTTTCCTGTTATAGATGTAATGACTGGAATAAATCCTCCTGTAACTCATGTAATTATTAGTATATCTTTCCTGTTATAGATTTAATGACTGGACTAAATCCTCCTGTAAATCATGTAATGATTAGTATATTTTTCCTGTTATAGATATAAGGACTGGACTAAATCCTCCTGTAACTCAGGTAATAATTAGTATATCTTTCCTGTTACAGATGTAATGACTGGACTAAATCCTCCTGTAAATCATGTAATGATTAGTATATTTTTCCTGTTAGAGATGTAATGACTGGACTAAATCCTCCCGTAACTCATGTAATGATTAGTATATTTTTCCTGTTAGAGATGTAATGACTGGACTAAATCCTCCCGTAACTCATGTAATGATTAGTATATCTTTCCTGTTATAGATTTAATGACTGGACTAAATCCTCCTGTAAATCATGTAATGATTAGTATATTTTTCCTGTTAGAGATGTAATGACTGGACTAAATCCTCCCGTAACTCATGTAATGATTAGTATATCTTTCCTGTTATAGATGTAATGCCTGGACTAAATCCTCCTGTAACTCAGGTAATAATTAGTATATCTTTCCTGTTACAGATGTAATGACTGGACTAAATCCTCCTGTAACTCATGCAATAATTAGTATATCTTTCCTGTTATAGATGTAATGCCTGGACTAAATCCTCCTGTAACTCATGAAATGATTAGTATATTTTTCCTGTTAGAGATGTAATGACTGGACTAAATCCTCCCGTAACTCATGTAATGATTAGTATATTTTTCCTGTTAGAGATGTAATGACTGGACTAAATCCTCCTGTAACTCATGCAATAATTAGTATATCTTTCCTGTTATAGATTTAATGACTGGACTAAATCCTCCTGTAAATCATGTAATGATTAGTATATTTTTCCTGTTAGAGATGTAATGACTGGACTAAATCCTCCCGTAACTCATGTAATGATTAGTATATTTTTCCTGTTAGAGATGTAATGACTGGACTAAATCCTCCTGTAACTCATGCCCAGCCATTTTATGTATGGTTATGGGGTGGGGATCTCAACTGTTTCCAATCTGTGATTCAGAACCTAGGTCCCTAGGGTTGTGGCCAGACCCCAGGATCAATTCTATTATCATGACTTCATTCGTCTCTTTATGCCCAACAATTGTATATATAGTTTTGGGGTGGGGATCTTAACCGTTTCAAAGTTATGACCCAGGGGTTAAGTATCCAAGGGTGGGGCAGACCCTGGAAGTGAATGTGCATTCATCTCTTTATACTCAGCAATTGTATATATGGTTATATGGTGGGGATCTCAACTGTTACCAAGCTGTGACTCAGAAACTAGATCCCTAGGGGTTCAGTAAGACCCCAAGGTCTATTCTAATATCATGACTGCACTCGTCTCTTTATGTCCAGTATTTGTATATATAGTTTTGGGGTGGGGATCTTAACCGTTTCAAAGTTATGACCCAGGGGTTAAGTCTCCAAGGGTGGGGCAGACCCTGGAAGTGAATGTGCATTCATCTCTTTATACTCAGCAATTGTATATATGGTTATAGGGTGGGGATCTCAACTGTTACCAAGCTGTGACTCAGAAACTAGATCCCTAGGGGTTCAGTAAGACCCCAGGGTCTATTCTAATATCATGACTGCATTCGTCTCTTTATGTCCAGTATTTGTATATATAGTTTTGGGGTAGGGATCTCAACTGTTTCGAAGTTATGACCCAGGGACTATGTCTCCAAGGGTTGGGCCAGACCCCAGGGATATCCTGGAAGCATATGTGCATTCTTCATTATACTCAGCAATTGTATATATGGTTATACGGTGGGAAACTCAACCATTTCTAAGTAATAAACTTTTTTTGGCCCCACCCCTTAGCCAGGGGGTCAGCCCCACCAATTGTACATTTTTGAATCTTTGCCTCACATGAATGCTTCCAACGAAATATGATTGATATCCAGTCAAAGTTCTACAGAAGAAGTCGTATATAGCAATGTAGCCAAATTGCCCACTTTTGGCCCGCCCCACATCCCCTGGGGGGTCAGCCCCACCTTTTGTTCAATTTTGAATCCCCATTACCTAGGGATGCTTAAAGTAAAATATGGGTGATATCCATCTCTTAGTTCCAGAGAAGAAGTTGCTTAAAGCAATATAGCCAAATAATGGGGGTCAGCCCCACCATTTGCACAATTTTGAATCCACACTTCCTAGTGATGCTTCCGATAAAATGATTGATATCCAGTGCATAGTTCTACAGAAGAAGTCACTTGTAGCAATATAGCCAAATTGCCCACTTTTGGCCCTGCCCCTCAGCCCCCTGGGGGGGGGGTCAGCCCCGCCATTTGTACAATTTTGAATCTCCACTACCTCGGGATGCTTCCAGTCAAATATGGTTGATATCCGTCTCTTAGTTCCAGAGAAGAAGTCGCATAAAGCAATATGGCCAAATAACCCTTTTTGGCCCCGCCCATCAGCCCCCTTAGGGGTCAGCTCCACCAATTGTTCAATTTTGAATCCCCGCATCCTATGATTGCTTCCGACCAAATGTGATTGATATCAAGTGCATAGTTCTACAGAAGAAGTTGTTTATAGCAATATAGCCAAATTGCCCCCTTTTGGGCCCCACCCCTCAGCCCCTTGGGGGATTAGCCCCACCATTTGTACAATTTTTGAATCCCCACCACCTAGGGATGCTTCCATTGAAATTTAGTTAAATTCCAATCAGTGATTAAGAAGAAGACGTCGTTTGAAGAAATTGTTGACGCACGGATGACGGACAGACGACGAACGCCACAGTATGGCATAAGCTCACCTTGGTCCTTCGGACCTGGTGAGCTAATAATGATCTAAGTATATCCCTCTAGAGATACCTGTAATGGACATTGCAGGTAATCTTCATATCCTTTAGCAAACTGAGTGACTGGATCAGTGGGAGGCTGAGTCTGTAACAGAAACACACATTATTTTCAAAGGTCATCTCTTCTGATGAACAGGAGATATAACAGGAAACACTAGACATCAAGGACAATACAGATACCAGGAATACCCCTTACATATGATCCTTTTTACCTCTCACACAATCATATTTACCTTTACATATGATCCTATTTACCTCTCACACAATCATATTTCCCTTTACATATGATCCTATATTCCTGCCACACAATCATTATTTCCCCTTAATATATATATATATTTCTTTTACACCAATTATGAAACAAGTTATTACAACTTATAATGTTAATTACTCTTATTGGCATGGATGTTAGGGGGCTAGGGGTCTTAATGTGGGAGAAAACAAGTATACCCGGAGAAAACCCACATGGTCAGGAGGGTGACTCCATACTAACGTCCGATCAGAGAGTCGAACCCCAAACAAGTATACCCGGAGAAAACCCACATGGTCAGGAGGGTGACCCCATACTAACATCTGATCAGAGTCAAACCCCAACCACGTTGGTGAAAGGTGAGTGTGTTACCTACACATTAACCTATTTCCCATACACATTAACCTATTTCCCATACACATTTGCCTATTTCCCATACACATTAACCTATTTCCCATACACATTAACCTATTTCTCATACACATTAACCTATTTCCCTTACTAACCTATTTCCCGTACATATTTACATATTTCCCATACACATTAACCTATTTCCGTTACTAACCTATTTCCCATACATATTTACATATTTCCAATACACATTAACCTATTTCCCTTACCCATTAACCTATTTCCCATACACATATACATATTTCCCATACATATTTAAATATTTCCCATACACATTAACATATTTCCCATACCCATTTGCATATTTCCCATACACATTAACATATTTACCATACACATTAACATATTTCCCATATTCATTAGCCTATTTCCCATACACATTAACCTATTGCCCATACACATTACCCTATTTCCCATACACATTAACCTTTTTCCCATACACATTAACCTATTGCCCATACACATTACCCTATTTCCCTTACACATTAACATATTTCCCATATTCATTAGCCTATTTCCCATACACATTAACATATTTACCATACACATTAACCTATTTCCCTTACACATTAACCTATTTCCCATACACATTTGCATATTTCCCATACACATTAACCTATTTCCCATACACATTTGCATATTTCCCTTACACATTAACATATTTCCCATACACATTTACATATTTCCCATACACATTAACCTATTTCCCTTACACATTAACATATTTCCCATACACATTTGCATATTTCCCATACACATTAACATATTTCCCATACACATTAACATATTTCCCATACACATTATCTTATTTTCCTGACACATCTTAAATTTCCTGCATGCAGTTTATATTTTGGTTATGATATTAAAACCTGATGATATTCTGTTATCTTTCCAATGGACATCATATTATATATCTCAAAGAAACAAATATTCATTTCTGCCTCTCACAAGGACAATAAATGTATTATATATCAAACAAATATATCGTAAAATAATGCAGGTACATACAACACCTGTAACATTACCTGGAACAGGTGGTCAAGATATTGCTGGTAGGCATGGACACCTTTGTCTTGGTGTCGTTCCACACCGGTAAGGACTAACTGGACATCCAACTGTCATGGTAAACATAGGTTGAATAAATATTCGATGTGTGTTCAGCAATTGGGAAAGTCATATTCCGTCTTTGCGTATTGCAGAGTTATCTTCTCTTGTGAGCAGGTATTGATTGTTTCGTCACTTGTCTGTGAGAGTAACGTCATCAATTTTTGAGAAAACGATGTAATTTTCTCACACAAAAACCAATGACGTAACAATCAATACCTGCTCCCAAGAGAAGATAACTCTGCAATACGCAAAGACGGAATAGATCTATCACCAAAGCTAGAGCTCTCCGTTCTAATGTACGAATGGGGAACAACTTAGAACTCATAAGCTCAGATGTAAGTACATCAAACAAACAACTTGTAATGCACATAGTACATTAAATTTTCTTATATTTATAAAGTCATTTACACTTATTAGATTTATTGAGACATTTTAATATATTACTAAATACTTTTTTTTTATTATACCACTAAAGACATTTTTTTAGAGATGTTTTTAATTAATCAAATTGGTAAATCAAGAGTAGAATTAAATCCTATTAATATCATTACTCCCAAAATGAGTTCTAGCTCCCAACCATTTCAGCCAGGTCAATAGCACAAACAACTTTGGGACATAATGGGTCACTTTAAGTACTGAGAAACTCCATGCTAAATTTACCCTGAAGAGCTTATAGAGAAATAGCTGATGGGCCCTAGACAGCACTGGATAACCCTTCTTGTTGGTCATAAAAAGACTGGTCGAGATGTGGACACACTTGATTGGTTCAGCCAGCCATCGGTCAAGGATGTGATCTGGAGGGAGATCAGCACACAGCTCCAGGGCCACCTTGATCCTCTTGTTACCGTCACACACTGTCCGGAATGTGTGCCACCTGTAACCATATATCTAGTTTAGACAATGATAAAAACTTGATTTTAGATCAATAGATAAAGGTTTTATACCATGAAGATAAAATTGGAATGAACTATCACAAGATCAAAAACCATAAAACTTCTAAGGGCGATCCAAATGATCAGTTTGCAGCTAAAAAACTGCGTAAACTTTATTTATTTCACAACAATTATGAAACAAGTTTTATCGACTTAAATTGATTACTAACGTTGGCCCATACGGAACCACGATGGGGGTCTTAGTGTGGGAGGAAACCAGAGTACCTGGAGAAATCCACGTGGTCGGGTAGGTGACTTTTACCTTTTCATGTATGATCAGGGAATTGAACCCTGGCCGTCTGGGGGATGGCGAGTGTGTACAATCCACTGCACCACCAGACCATGTAATTATCCAATTGTACATTTTATGTAAGAACTTAATAAGGACACCTCCAAACAAGTTCTTTAGTAGTTTTAAAATCTTGTTTGATTGCTTAAGATATGAACAGCTAGTTCAGTAATAAGTTAATGAACATGAGCTGATTACCATTCCCAGGTATCCTCAATCTGCTCCTCGGGTGTCCCCTCCTCACCCTCAATCAGGTTGTCCACCTGATCCTTGGCCGACATCAGAGGAACATGGATCCAGTATTGCTATAGAAACAGTAGCAGCTCTCATTGATACATCATTAGGGGAACGTAAAAGCATATGCAGTACAAAATCAGAGTGCCACATTCATGTTTTTAGACTTATCTTTTGGAAGTCTAAGTTTTCTAAAACTAAGTCCATAGGTGTGATAGGGGTTAGGGGTTGGCTTCCCCTACCAATCCCCACTTCAGGAGATATGTTCTGATAACCTATCAAAATTTGAATGATATTTCACTAGCTGAAAATCTGGCAATTGGAAACTTCAGAAAAAATTGGGCCCTTGATGTACATATACAACATACCTTGTCAAAAATTGTATTTGTATATAAGAGGTAGGGTTAAATTATTTCTTAACTTTTTAATAAATTTTGTTTCACTTTACAGACATATATATATTGAATAACTGTTCCTAAAAATGAGTTAATATCTGATTTATTTAAAAGGTCATTTAGAAGTCTTTTATCTCATTGGAAAAAAAATCATCATTTCCCCCAACATTAAAGAAAGTCTAACTTAGTATGGTAATATTGATCTGAACAACAGATCCCAGGTAATACATGTCCTAAATGGCTAGCCTGAAGTAGTTCTTTGGTTACCTGCTGGAAGTAGCTGGATATGAGTTGCTGGTTCAGACACCTTGCCACATTGCTCACATTCTTGTTGCGCAGGGAGATGAGGATGGCAGGCAGACCCAGATGTGAGGCATAGGCCAGCTCTTGTTTGAACGCCTGTGTAATATAATATAAATATTAATTTTAAGGGCAACTTAAAAAAATAAATATTTCTGACAATGCCTAATTTTTGCATTACATGAACACAAATATATGCTGAAAATTAACCATACCTTGTTTCCAAATCACTGCCATATTTAATGATTTTCTCACTAATTGATTTTAATTCTGTGCCACAATCCTATACAGTTATGAGTATAGTGGCAGAACTTACCAGTTCAGAGTTCTTCCTGATAGTGCCTACTTCTGAATCCAGCTGAATCCACGGTGAAACCTTCCCGACAATGAGAGTGTTCCAATCTGTACGCAAACAGAAATGATTCGGGTTAGTGTTAATAAGTGTCACAATTTCTTCACTGTTCCAGTGTTTGCATCAACTCTGTCCCACATATCAGGCAGAGGTTAAAAATATCACTAGGGATTCTTACCTGGGACCAAGCATGAATTAGTATTGGTAATTGAAAAAGAAATCATAATTATTGAAATACCTGGAAAACTCAGTTAAGATATGTGTAATGGTGATTTAAACTGTTGGGATTTGTAATGGTAAATGTTCTATGCATGATAAAGGGTTGTCCTAGAAACTGTTTATTTTACACTTTTCACTATATGAATTTGTTGTGTTATTGATACATGATCATCAGTTCAATGTTAAATTCATGTCACTATAACTTCACAATTTTTTTTTTAATATGTCGCTAAATGTAAGTGAATGACATCACAGTTTATTACTTACCTTGTCCAGTCAACACTAGATCTGACCGAGTCATGGCCCCAGGCCTGTCCTTGGCTGGTCCATAGATAAATTCCCTCTTGTATCTTGGATTGACAATTGGTAGGCACACAAAATCAAACCTGTAAATAAAATGTGTTAATAATAATTTGGCTTTGATATATCTAGTCAGAATCTGGTCCTTTTTCCTCTACCAGACTTTAAGAGTACCTATGATCACAGTCCTCTTCCTACTCATAGCTTCTCACAGAAGGAATTTTCTTATATGGAGAGAATGCACATGGCAGACTTGAAAGATGGCTATGGGATTTGTAACCAAGTTAAGAGGATTTTTCCACTTTGACTTGAGAGGATACTTAGGAGCTGCAGAGAGAGGATTTTCCAACCTGTTCTGTGGGTTAGAGCGGGGTCGGGTGTGTCACTGCAGGAGAAATTGATGTGGATATTAAGTCTTAAGCAAAGTCACCTAACCAAACCCATTTTGATACTTGCAAGCTTGTATTACACATCAATAACTTTCAAGGTCCTATTGACATAAGTTGATGCAAATCATGTAAACAGAGGCACATTTGACAATGAGAGATTTTTTTGTACTTAAATTAGCATTTGTCTATAGAATACTGACGACCAGGACCTGTGTCCGGCTAGCGTTGATAGGCCAGTTATTCAACGATCGTGTATAACAACCTGTCTGTCATAATCAAAAATTCACGACCTTCTGTACTGTAAAAGATATTGAGTTTCCCCCCTTCCCACAATATCCTATGAACGTTCAGTCTCTCCGAAGGGGTGTATGACATTAGCCAGCTGTGTGACAGGAAACTTATTGGACATTATTAGATATGAGATTATTTTCCAGCTATTATGCATTATAGCAAATATCATCATTACTTGCGATGTAGTCGTTTTGAACTCCCATAGAAGTTTGAAACAATCGCAGAAGCTGACTTTTTATATTAAAGCCTGTGATAATAATGTATTAAAATTAAAATGAGGAGATCATTTGATTTGTTCATAAGTGTCCAGTTTCACCTGACCCAACCTATAGATACTCCAGGAGTTACATAATACATTCACTTACATATGTACGTTCTCTAGATCTGCACCCCTGGATTATTTCATAGCAAAAGTGAAATCTCTTTGGTCTACTTCCTAGCGGTCAGTGCACGTTGTGTTCCTTAGAATTACATACTCACAAAACCAATCAAAATACATGTAACAAAATTGCTTCAGCGGAAAATGTACTTTCACCAGTCAAGTTAACTGAACTGAGTTTGGTTGGGTTTAATTTTGTTAACGTCCTATTAACAGCTAAGGATATTTAAGGACCTGCCTCCATGGGTGTAGTGTATGCCTGCTTGCGTGTGTGTATGCAGGAGACAGGGTATGTTGTTGTGCTTGCCTCCTTGTAATAGCACGGATCTGATGACAACTTTATAGTGCTATTTTACTGATATACCATGCCGAAGGCACCCAGCACAGCATTCCCCCGGTCACATTATACTGACAACAGGTGACCAAGTTGTTGCCATTCCCCTAAATGCTCAGCTTTTAGCAGGGAATAACAATTACCATGTTTAAGGACTTTGGTATGTCCCGGCCTAGGGAGAGAACCCATTGCCTTCCTCACCTGGGCAAACGCTCAACATTAAAGCCAAAAGTGAGGTGTTGCCAAGCAAGGCGCTAGGAAATAAAAGGAAGTTAGAAGTAGAAAGAAAGAAAAAGATTCCAAATATTGTAATGGGTGCATCAAACAACCTAGGGCGAACGGTGTTTAGGGCGAAACAACCCGTTAGTCGACGTTACCGGAAAAATATGTGCGTCGCTTGATTTTGATAGTATTCAATTTTTGGTTGGTTTTCAACAAATTGGACGAAGACGTTTTACTTACCCCGATTTACAGACGTTGTCTAACGTAGTATTAATGTCGGGACAGCAATGGTAATCTCTACCGCAAGACAAACGACCAGTCATCCTGCTAAGAACCGGCATGGTAAGTACTTCTACACCGGAAGTGGAACTTATTCGGAACACCTTTGACCTTTACATCTTTAATCAATACACTAGAGACACCTCGGTTTATACGTTCAACAAAGGCATAACAATATTGCGATATTTAGAAGATCCCTGCACCTGCAGTATGGCAAAGCTAAGAAAGTACGGTACCATACCTCTGTACATAGTGGAAGATCACAATGAAGTAAGAAAGTGGAAACGCAGTGCATTGTTGTCAATTGTTAATTGTCACTGATTTGTTCATAGTGTAACGTGAGTATAACTAATGTTTGTAAACTGATGACGAGGAATAATGACAAAGATATCGAAACTGCCGTCGCTGGGGCTCGAACCCGCGACCCTTGGTTCTCCAGCCCGATGCTCTACCGCTGAGCTAAAGGGAAATTCCCTACAGCTGACGCTTGGAAGGCAATCTAATTAATCAACATCTTTTACAATATTCCTCCCTTTTTTCAAACGCCAACCAAAGTTCTTTGCCGCCAAGGGTTCTCCTATCTTGAACGGGGAGGGTCAACGGCACCAATTTGTAATATGACGAGGAATAGTGATAAAGATAGTGACATCGCTGGGGCTCGAAGCTGCAAACCCTGTGCTCTCCAGCCAAATGTTGTGTGTACAGTGGAACCTTGTTAGACTGAACACTAAATGGTTTATGTGTACAGTGGAACCTTGTTAGACTGAACACTAAATGGTTTGTGTGTACAGTGAAACCTTGTTAGTCTGAACACTTTGGTTTGTGTGTATATAGTGGAACCTTGTATACTTTGGTTTGTGTGTGTATAGTGGAGCCTTGTATACTTTGGTTTGTGTGTACAGTGAAACCTTGTATACTTTGGTTTGTGTGTGTATAGTGGAACCTTGTACAATTTGGTTTGTGTGTACAGTGAAACCTTGTACACTTTGGTTTGTGTGTACAGTGAAACCTTGTATACTTTGGTTTGTGTGTGTACAGTGGATCCTTGTACACTTTGGTTTGTGTGTACACAGTGAAACCTTGTACACTTTGGTTTGTGTGTGTACAGTGGAACCTTGTACACTTTGGTTTGTGTGTACAGTGGAGCCTTGTTAGTCCAAACACTTTGGTTAATGATGTAGAGTGGAGCCTTGTTAGTCCAAACACTATGATTTGTTTATACAATGGAGCCTTATTAGTCTGAACACTTTGTTAATGTGTACAGTGGAACTTTGTTAATCTGAACACTATGGTTTGTTTATACAGTGGAACCTTGTTTATCTGAACTCTTTAATTTTTGTGTACAGTAGAACCTTGTTAGTCCAAACACTTTGGTTAATGTGTACAGTGGAACCTTGTACACTTTGGTTTGTGTGTACAGTTGAACCTTGTACACTTTGGTTTGTGTGTACAGTGGAACCTTGTACACTTTGATTTGTGTGTACAGTGGAACCTTGTACACTTTGATTTGTGTGTACAGTGGAACCTTGTACACTTTGGTATGTATGTACAGTGGAACCTTGTACACTTTGGTATGTGTGTACAGTGGAACCTTGTACACTTTGGTTTGTGTGTACACTGGAACCTTGTACACTTTGGTTTGTGTGTACAGTAGAACCTTGTACACTTTGATTTGTGTGTACAGTGGAACCTTGTACACTTTGATTTGTGTGTACAGTGGAACCTTGTACACTTTGGTTTGTGCATGAATACAGTAAAACCTCATTGCACCTTAACTCACTCGATAGTGACATAACAAAGGAAAAATATATTCTGATTTCCTTGATGTTTTGTTGTTTTTTTGTTTTAGGTTGTGCCATTCATACACAGGGCTATAGGTGGACGATATTTACCTATATCAGACATCATCTTTGTGCATTTTGACTCCCACCCTGATCTACTCATACCAGCAGAGCTGAAGGCTGATGACATCTTCAATAAAGACATTCTTTATGAGTAAGTAATGGTCATCACAGCTCATTATTCCTGAAACTTGTCAAAAATTATAAGTAGATCATTCAGCATGAACACTTTGTATTACTCTGTAAATTTAATGTTCTAGCCTTTTTAAACAAGTGGCCAAAAGGCCTGAATAGCTTACCTGGTATTAAATCTCACACTTGCAATCTTAAAAGTGGAATAAAATACAGCTACAGGCCAAACATCAGTATTTGATTCAAAAGAATCTATTAATAGATTTAAACACATGACCCCTGTGACCTTGAAAGTCAAACAAGGACATTAAGTTGAACAGACTTCATAGCATTTCATCAAATCTTGCTTCTGGCCAAATATCATTACACTGGACTTTATTATTTATAAGTTATTGAAAGATTTCAACATATTTGACCCCTGTGAACTTGAATATAACTCAAGGTCATTCATTTGGAAAAAGCTAGTAACCCTTCATTCCAGCATGCGACTGGCCAAATATAAAATATTAGTCACCCTGGTCCATTTGGTTATGAAGAAATCTTTTACAGTTTTCAACATAATTGACCCCTGTGACCTTGAAATTGGGTGAACATCATTCATTTGAACAAACTTGGTAGCCCTTCATCCCAGCATGCTTATAACAGGTCACATATCATCATCCTAGGCCTTTTAGTTATTTTGAAATATTTGACCCCTGTGACCTTGAACATTAGTCAATGTCATTAATTTGAACAAACTTGGTAGCCCTAGCCTTCATCCAAGCTGTGAGTGAGTGAGTGAGTGATGATTTTACTGGCCAAATATCAACATCCTAGGCCCCTTTGATATTAAGAAGAAGTTGTTGAAATATTTTAACGTGTTTGACCCCTGTGACCTTGAAAATGGGCGAAAGTCATTTATTTGAACAAACTTGGTAGCCGTTTATCACAGTATGTAACTAGCCAAATATCACCACCCAAGGCCCCTTGGTTATTCACAAGAAGTTGTCACAAGGTTTTAAACATATTTGATCCCTGTGACCTTGAATATTAGTCAAGGTCATCCATTTGACCAAACTTGGTAGCCGTTTATCTCAGCATGTAACTGGCCAAATATCATCACCCTAGACTTCTTGGTTATTCACAAGAAGTTGTTGAAAGGTTTTAAACATATTTGACCCCTGTAACCTTGAATATGAGTCAAGGTCATTCATTTGAACAAACTTGGTAGCCCTTCATCCTAGCATGTTATTGGCAAAATATCATCATCCCTAGACCTCTTTTTTATTTAGAAGAAGTTGTTTAAAAAAAATATGTTATCAACATATTTGACCCCTGTGACCTTGAATATAAGTCAAGGTCATTCATTTGAAAAAACTTGGTAGCTCTTCATCCCAGCATGTTGCTGGCCAAATATCATCACCCTTGGCATAAGGTCACTTGCCCTTTGGGCAGGTGAGCAAAAAATGAGGTCATACACTAGTGAAAGAGTTTTATACACAAAGCTACATAAGAAAATACCCTAAAGAAAATAGATACAAAATCATGGTTAACGCAACCACTGTTCAATTGAGGTTATGCATATTATCATGACAGCAAATATTTGTACACAGTTTACCCAATATAATAATATGTGAAGGGCGAAGGTTAACGTTGGGAGAATATAGATTTTACCAGTGAAGGGCGAATATTTGACAGGATAAAAGTTTCCTGGTATACAGTAATACAATTTCACTTGATTCTGTATGCATGTGTATGGTAAAATTTGTAATGTTTGTTTGTTGCAGGAGCCAAAGCATTGAGAACTGGATACTACCTATGGTGTATGCAGGACACATCAGTGACGTTGTCTGGTTTAAACCGCCATGGTGTGAACAGATCACAGACAAGACAATTCAGTTTGATGTGGGGAAGTGTTCTTCTTCTGGCTACCTAAGGTAATGATGGGAGATAAGCTATCACACACAGGTAATAATGGGAAATAAAGCTATCACACACAGGTAATACTGGGAAATAAAGCTATCACACACAGGTAATAAGGGGTTATGAAGCGAAATAAAGCTATCACACACAGGTAATAAGGGGTTATGAAGCGAAATAAAGCTATCACACACAGGTAATAAGGGGTTATGAAGCGAAATAAAGCTATCACACACAGGTAATAAGGGGTTATGAAGCGAAATAAAGCTATCACACACAGGTAATAAGGGGTTATGAAGCGAAATAAAGCTATCACACACAGGTAATAAGGGGTTATGAAGCGAAATAAAGCTATCACACACAGGTAATAAGGGGTTATGAAGCGAAATAAAGCTATCACACACAGGTAATAAGGGGTTATGAAGCGAAATAAAGCTATCACACACAGGTAATAAGGGGTTATGAAGCGAAATAAAGCTATCACACACATTTAAGGGGTTATGAAGCTATCGCACTCATTTAATTACAAGTAATGAGGCTGTTACACTCGAGGACAAGGTCTGCAAGATCACTGAAAGGAGTGAAATTTCACAACAGCTCGATGCTTGTCGGACGATCATATGCAGTTCTGAACTGATGAACAGTATTTGATGATGTCCTATGACAAGATGGTGTTTCACTCATCTGAAGTTAGAGGTCACACCTAAAGGTCAAAGGTTCATAACTGCAGTGCGCTTACTTCAACCTCTGGACAGTTAAATATTGTGAAAGAACTTGATAGGTGTGTGTTATTGACAGCACAGCCTGTTACTACACAAACTTGTCACAGGTCTATACCCTCCAGGTCAAGGTCACAGGATAAGTTAAAAGTTTACGTTACTGTGATACTTGTCTGAACTATGAAGTTTGAGTTGTTGACAATTTTATTTTGTATTTTGGTGTGTTATTATTAAGCCAATTAACACAAGTCGTTACAACTGAGGTCAATGATACTATATATATATTACTATGATTTTGTATGTTATTTTTGTCATTATAAGAGAAAATACAAGTTTGCAGTCTAGATATATAGTAAAGTATATAATGGCATTATGACTGGAAACATATTATATTGAATCTACAGATTAATTCATTTTACAAACTTTGCTTGTTATTGTACATTAAACTCCATAGATACACATTGTTCACGTTTTAGTTTTATACCATCTTGGTCAATAGATCATTACCTCGTGGTCAAAAGCTTGCTGGTGGTAAGTGTAAAACATGATATACCGATCCACTGGCCTGTTGTTGTATATGTAAGCATTACCGATCAACTGGCCTGTTGTTGTATATGTAAGCTTTACCGATCCACTGGCCTGTTGTTGGATATGTAAGCATTACCGATTCACTGGCCTGTTGTTGTATTTGTAAGCATTACCGATTCACTGGCCTGTTGTTGTATTTGTAAGCATTACCGATCCACTGGCCTTTTGTTGTATATGTAAGCATTACCGATCAACTGGCCTGTTGTTGTATATGTAAGAATTACCGATCCACTGGCCTGTTGTTGTATATGAAAGCATTACTGATCCACTGGCCTGTTGTTGTATATGTAAGCATTACCAATCCACTGGCCTGTTGTATACGTAAGCATAACTGATCCACTGGCCTGTTGTATATGTAAGCATTACCGATCCACTGGCCTGTTGTTGTATATGTAAGCATTACTGATCCACTGGCCTGTTGTTGTTTATGTAAAATATTACTGATCCACTGGCTTGTTGTATATGTAAGCATTACTGATCCACTGGCTTGTTGTATATGTTAGCATTACTGATCCACTGGCCTGTTGTATATGTAAGCATTACTGATCCACTGGCCTGTTGTTGTATATGTAAGCATTACTGATCCACTGGCCTGTTGTTGTATTTGTAAGCATTAACTTGTTATTTGGTTTTCACAGAACCAGCTGTAAAGAAAGTTACTTTGTCAGCGAGACGTTATATAGACCAGTGGAAAAACTTCTCAACAGAAAAACTCTCACCCTCACTGTGATTACAGTCCAACCCACCAACTGGTCCGGATCACATCCACTGAAAAACTCAGAAATGTGTCAGCAGAATTGTGAACTTACTAACCAAAGGGAAAAGAATGCACGCCAGTCAGAAGAAAAAATTAAGTCAAGAGGAGACGGTCTAAAAACCACAGATGTGTCAAGTCAGGGACTAATTTGCAAGCAGGACACAGGAAGTAACTGTGGTAATAACGAAGATATAATAACTTCAGATGAATGCAATGCCACACACGAAAGTCTGTGTCCGAGGAAAAAGCAGCGACCAAATACATGTGAACACACGGAAAGTAGACAAAGTGATTCTAGTCTGGAGTCTGTACATGTGCCACCATTATCAGACAAATTCATTTCAAAGTTGGAAAATTTGTTTGAAAAGTTTAAAGATTGTCATATTGTGTTAGACATAGATTTAGACTTCTTTTCAACTAAGAATCCTTTTCGAGAAATGTACAGCCCAAGACAGTTTCAGTTACTACAGGACCTCTATGTGTACAACAAGCCTGCAGATGACTCTGATGAGGTATGTCTGGTCATTTTGTACCCATACATTCTTAAATGAAAAAAATGTTACAAAACATTATTAATATTTCCAACAGTTATGGAATTTGTCACATTACCTGTCACATCACTTAACATCACATCATTACATCATCACTTTACACTTAATGTAAAATCACTAAATGTCACTTAATTGTCATGTCACATCTCTTAATTGTCATGTTGCATCTCTTAATTGTCATGTCACATCTCTTAATTGTCATGTTGCATCTCTTTGTCACTTCTCTCAATTGTCATGTCACATCTCTTAATTGTCATGTTGCATCTCTTAATTGTCATGTCACTTCTCTTAATTGTCCTGTCACATCTTTTAATTGTCATGTCACTTCTCTTGATTGTCATGTCACTTCTCTTAATTGTCATGTCACTTCTCTTAATTGTCATGTCACTTCTCTTAATTGTCATGTCACTTCTCTTAATTGTCATGTCACTTAGTATCAATTCACTTAATTGCTTTGTCATGTCTCTTAATTACTTATATACTACAGGCCATTACAATGTGTGTAGAAGGAAGAGAGGAACAGTTGTCTCAGTTAAAACAGATACTCATGTCCATGGGAGATAACCCCGGAATGATTCCTAAACATGAAAGGTAACTATATTGGAAAACTCTCACAGCACATAAAATATCCTATAAAAATAACAGAGTGCATGCTTTATGAAAGAAAAGAATCATTATCTCATTTTAACCCACCATGGTCAAATGTTGTGAGGAAAGACCTTTATAACAAACCCTATTTAATATGTTGATTTAGGAGAAGCCTTTGACAGCATTTGTAATAAAGTTTTCCCCTAAATCTATGTAAACAGTGTTATAAAGGTCAGTCCTGACTCAGTGTACACAGATTTTGTTACAAAGATCTCTCTTAAATTACTGTATACAGGATTTGTTATAAAATAATAGGCTGATTTAGGAGTGACTGTTATAACAGACCCCGTTAACACTTATTTAAGGTTGAATTTTTTACCAGGTACTGTACATTGTTTTAGGTGTGAGCTGATCCTGAAATTGGTTGGCGACCTGAGACAAACTTTTGGAGAGGATGGTGTGGACTTCAGATTATTACACGACGCTGGATGTACCTGTGATGATACAGAATTGCCTCATCATGTCAGCAGCCAGGAGCAGATAACTCTGTTGGTAGATGCTGTACAGGAACTACTCTGTCGCATGCACAAACCAACTATCATCACTATGGCCAGGTAAAATAGTCTGGGGAAAAGTGAAAAGTTTTTGTAGCAATGACAAACCCAGTGGTCTTACAAATCAAATAAATGGCCATTTGACTTTCTTCAAAGCTTTAATTCTATAATGATACATAGATTTTAAGGATAGCCTTTTTTATACTCCCTCCTAGTCTTAAGTACATAGGGGAATATCCACATTATCCATTCCATAACTTCTTACTGCCTCAAGACGATGTACCGAAACTTTCATTTAATGTTAATGAATAGCTATAGCTAACATGATGCTAATTTATGGTTGGCACAATATTTTGTTTTAAACTTAAGTGCATATCGTGACAAGATGACTTGCTGCAGAACAATTACAGTTCCATACCCCAAAAGTCAATGTCATCGCAAACAGTCCAAGGTCAGATCAGTATAGTACTCGTCTGTACTATAACTTCAAAGAGGGGTAAAGGTGGCATAGTGAGCCATATCTGTATTTCTTATTATTGTTGTTGTCCATTCCTTGCCTTGAGTGTACTGGTATTGTTGTTCCAGGTCGAGTAATGATGACTACTGCCCTCCAGATCAAGTGGATTCTATACAGGATCAAACTCTGGAAATCTTACAGGATCTGTACTTAAAGCTCAATCTCACAGCTTCTTATTGACCTTAACTTATTACAAAAGATCTGTACGATAGCCAGGTCCATGGAACACGGTCACACATCTCTTTAACGCGGAAATATTACCTGATGTATTTGGTAGGTGTGAACTTAACAGTGTTAACTTACTGGTAGGTGTGTATTACTGGTCGGTGCGTATTACTGGTAGGGGTATGTGAACTTAACAGTGTTAACTTACTGGTCGGTTGTATTACTGGTAGGTGTGTATTACTGGTAGGGGTATGTGAACTTAACAGTGTTAACTTACTGGGAGGTTGTATTACTGGTCGGTGTATGTGAACTTAGCAGTGGTAACTTACTGGTAGGTGTGTATTACTGGGAGGTGTGTATTACTGGTAGGTGTATGTGAACTCAACAGTGTTAACTTACTGGTAGGTGTATGTGAACTCAAGTGTTAACTTACTGGTAGGTGTGTATTACTGGGAGGTGTGTATTACTGGTAGGTGTATGTGAACTTAACAGGGTTAACTTACTGGTAGGTGTGTATTACTGGTCGGTGCGTATTACTGGTAGGGGTATGTGAACTTAACAGTGTTAACTTACTGGTCGGTTGTATTACTGGTAGGTGTGTATTACTGGTAGGGATATGTACTTAACAATGTTAACTTACTGGTAGGGGTGTATTACTGGTAGGTGTGTATTACTGGTATGTGTATGTGAACTTAACAGTGTTAACTTACTGGAAGGTTGTATTACTGGTCGGTGTATGTGAACTTAGCAGTGGTAACTTACTGGTAGGTGTGTATTACTGGTAGGGGCGTATTACTGGTAGGTGTATGTGAACTTAACAATGTTAACTTACTGGTAGGTGTGTATTACTGGAAGGTGCGTATTACTGGTAGGTGTATGTGAACTTAACAATGTTAACTTACTGGTAGGTGTGTATTACTGGGAGGTGTGTATTACTGGTAGGTGTATGTGAACTCAACAGTGTTAACTTACTGGTATGTGTATGTGAACTTAAGTGTTAACTTACTGGTCGGTGTGTATTAGTGGTAGGTGTATGTGAACTTAACAGTGTTAAATTACTGGTAGGTGGGTATTACTGGTAGGTGTATGTGAACTTAACAGGGTTAACTTACTGGTAGGTGTGATCTTGATGACAAGTGACATGTGTATTACTGGTAGGTGTATGTGAACTTAAGTGTTAACTTACTGGTCGGTGTGTATTAGTGGTAGGTGTATGTGAACTTAACAGTGTTAACTTCCTGGTAGGTGTGTATTACTGGTAGGTGTATGTGAGCACAACAGTGTTAACTTACTGGTAGGTTGTATTACTGGTAGGGGTATGTGAACTTAAGTGTTAACTTACTGGTAGGTGTGTATTACTGGGAGGTGTGTATTACTGGTAGGTGTGTATTACTGGGAGGTGTGTATTACTGGTAGGTGTGTATTACTGGGAGGTGTGTATTACTGGTAGGTGTGTATTACTGGTAGGAGTATGTGAACTTAACAGTGTTAACTTACTGGTCGGTTGTATTACTGGTAGGTGTGTATTACTGGGAGGTGTGTATTACTGGTAGGTGTATGTGAACTCAACAGTGTTAACTTACTGGTAGGTTGTATTACTGGTAGGGGTGTATTACTGGTAGGTGGATGTGAACTTAACAGTGTTAACTTACTGGTAGGTTGTATTACTGGTCGGTGTATGTGAACTTAACAGTGGTAACTTACTGGTAGGTGTGTATTACTGGTAGGTGTGTATTACTGGTAGGTGTATGTGAACTTAACAGTGTTAACTTACTGGTAGGTGTGATCTTGATGACAAGTGACAACTAAGGTTGTGGACATTTCACAGTAAAGATACAGACATTGTTTATACTATTAACATATGTTACACTGGTGTAAAACAAATTCAGAACAAAAGAAAGCAACGCACTGGAGTGCAACTGAAAGACTGTGATACTGGATGAGACCGAGATTCAGAAACAATTTGTTTCTTTGTTGGGTATGTTTTTGATTTCTTCTTTATTGTTTCTACATTTTAAAAGGGGGTAACTTGTATTACTCACTCAGGTTGATCTGTGATACCAACATGTCTCATGTTTTCAAAATGTTTTGACTAAAATAAATACCATTGAAAATTGTGTTCACTTCTGATTTTAATTTTTGAAACCAGATTCCATGTTGCGTATACAATCTACTGTTCAAATGTAATAGCCAATATTTCTATCCTACATATATAAATATGATAGAGTCCTATATTATATGATGGTCCTCATTTGATTAATTCAAGAAATAAGTTTCTAAAAACACTAACACACCTGACAATGACTCAAATCATTAGCATATATACATATATGTTTTATTACTTAAAAATATAACAAGAACTCATCAATAAGACTTCTTTTTCTTTGTGTACTTGTGAGTTTTCTCCTCCGTCTTGTCCGTCATGTTGGTCAGCAGATTTCTCATACCCTCATCCTTGATACGATAGTCCTTACTGCCACCTTTGTATTTATGTGGCTGTTTGTCTCTCGACTGTCTGGACCAATTCTTATTCCCTTCACTGAAAGAAGGCTCATCATCCTACAAAAACAAGGAGCAAACTGACGGTGTATGCTTGAGTGAGCAGTGACAAACCAATTCTGTATGCTTGAGTGAGCAGTGATAAACCAGTTCTGTATGCTTGAGTGAGCAGTGACAAACCAATCTGTATGCTTGAGTGAGCAGTGACAAACCAGTTCTGTATGCTTGAGTGAGCAGTGACAAACCAGTTCTGTATGCTTGAGTGAGCAGTGACAAACCAGTTCTGTATGCTTGAGTGAATAGTGACAAACCGATTCTATTTGCTTGAGTGAGCAGTGACAAACCAATTCTGTATGATTGAGTGACCAGTGACAAACCAGTTCTGTATGCTTGAATGAGCAGTGACAAACCGATTCTGTATGCTTGAGTGAGCAGTGGCAAACCGATTCTGTATGCTTGAGTGAGCAGTGGCAAACCGATTCTATTTGCTTTAGTGAGCAGTGACAAACCAATTCTGTATGCTTGAGTGAGCAGTGACAAACCGATTCTGTATGCTTGAGTGAGTAGTGACAAACTGATTCTGTATGCTTGAGTTGACTATTATGTACATACAATTTTTTGATAATTTGCTTGAAGACATTATATAATTCTTCTATGCCCATTAAATTCTCCACATTACAGACATCAAAATGAACTATTACAGTTAACTTTACCGCTAAAACCCATGGATCAACTATACCTATACATAAAACAACATATACCTGTCACTTACTGGTTGGTCTGTGAGCTGGGACCTTATTTTATCACGCAGCACATTAAATGGTTTTATTTAGTGGATATTTATCCTGTTTCTACATGTATTAATATTACCAAGAGAAATGTGTGGTTTATGAAAGACTAATCATTCAAAAGTAAATTGTCAAAAGGTGTTTTACTTTGTAAGTCCTACATATCTGACATAAAGGTTAAACAGAAGAGAAGTCAAAATGTACCATATCCAATCGGAGAGAGTTTCCCTCCATCTCTGGGTCCTGCTTCCCTTTCCACCCTGTGTCCTTTCCTTTGGCCTTTTTCCCTGCTGGTCCTAAGTGTAATAAATAGGTTATAACTAAAGGTCATCAGGTAATTGTGTTACATTGTAGGTTAAAGGTCATCAGGTAATTGTGTTACATTGTAGGTAAAAGGTCATCAGGTACTTGTGTTACATTGTAGGTTAAAGGTCATCAGGTAATTGTGTTACATTGTAGGTAAAAGGTCATCAGGTAATTGTGTTACATTGTAGGTTAAACGACATTAGGTAAGTGTGTTACATTGTAAAAGGTCATTAGGTAAATGTGCTACATTGTAGGTTAAAGGTCATTAAGTAAATGTGTTACATTGTAGGTTAAAGGTCATCAGGTAAATATGTTACATAGTAGGTTAAAGGTCATCAGGTAATTGTGTTACATTGTAGGTTAAAGGTCATTAGGTAATTGTGTTACATTGTAAAGGTCATTAGGTAAATGTGTTACATTGTAGGTAAAAGGTCATCAGGTAATTGTGTTACATTGTAGGTTAAAGGTCATTAGGTAAATGTGTTACATTGTAGGTTAAAGGTCATTAAGTAAATGTGTTACATTGTAGGTTAAAGGTCATCAGGTAAATATGTTACATAGTAGGTTAAAGGTCATCAGGTAAATGTGTTACATTGTAAAGGTCATAAGGTAAATGTGCTACATTGTAGGTTAAAGGTCATTAGGTAAATGTGCTACATTGTATGTTAAAGGTCATCAGGTAAATGTGCTACATTGTAGGTTAAAGGTCATCAGGTAAATGTGCTACATTGTAGGTTAAAGGTCATCAGGTAAATGTGCTACATTGTAGGTTCAAGATCATCAGATAAATGTGCTACATTGTATATAAGAGGTCATTAGGGGGTGTTTACAGGTTTAGGTTAAAGGTTATCAGGTAATGTTAACAAGACAATTATGAGTAAACATTGTATATCATTATGGCCCTGCATCAGAGATGTAAATGTCCTATAGTAATCACAGTGTCTGTCTGATTGTCCACACTTTCGTTTTCATTTTTTTTTTATCTCAAAATCAAGGTATCTGAAATTAAACACAGATACAGTTATTATGTAGATGTGCACCAGGTCAAGGTCACTGTATCTAAAGTAGAGAAAAGGAGAATAATGTGATGTTACTTGGATTCCAAAATCCAAGATGTTGTCCTGTCAAGGTCATTGTCAGTTACCTCTTATTAGCCAAGACATAAATGGCTGTTACTTTTGTTACATAAGTTCATTATCAGTGTAATACTTAGAAGACAGTTTATGTTGTGAATAAAGATGTGCTATCGGGATCAAATAATGATTACAGATTGCCACCATGCATACAAGACACATGATTGGTTTACATGTTCCATAAGTACCATTTTGTTCATAATTGGTGGTAAATGGTACTTCTCAGATTATATATGTAGCTACAATCTTATAACCCATATTCGGCAATCCAACATGATAACTGTGGTTTCTTATTTGCAATTATTTGGTAAATATACAATCAGGTACATAGCAGAGCCTTTGCCGACCTGTCATTGTTCTAGTTTGTTAAATATACCTAAGAATCAGCAAACTCTTCTCTCCTCAGGAATTTACGTGAAATTAAACATCAAACAGTATATAATAAACAACAGTAGTTAAACATAGTTTGCTTACCATCAGAAAGGATTTCACTAAATAGTTTGCGTTTCTTCTGATTCTGTCCTTGAACCTCTTTCCATTCTTGCAGTCGGTGTTTGTAGTGAAAGATACCACAGTTTTTGTGTACGTAGAAGCCGAACCGGTCGCCTTGGAGCTTGGCCTCATTGCGCCCCAACTCCTCTGCGACCATCAGCTTCTGACCAAGGGTGGCACATTTCCACATGTTGTCTAGAGTCCGACTGCCATTCTTGTCACAGGCCACATCCATGTACGTCCCCTGTACACGACAGAAATTATCACAAAGTAACACACTGAGTTTCTACATTTTCTATATCGTATGCTGGTGTTGAAAATATCCCTTTTTTCTTCTTTTTTTTTGCAAAAAGCCCTGCGGGCCTACACATAAACACCAACTTAAAGTATATGGTGATTGGCTTATTACGGGACAATGAAAACGCATGTCACCGTTTCTTCTAACCTGAAATAGATATTGGTGGGCTTATTAGCAGGCATATAGTTTATTGTCATATGGATACTGTTCAGGATGAGGTTAGAAATAGTGAAATTACAAACAGAAACCATCAGCAAGATAAATGAAAGGAATCAAGCTTAAAATAGCAACCTTCACCTTTGACAGAATGACCTAAAAAAAGATAAAGGTATGTACCTCTAAGTAACAAAAAACAATAGCAAAAAGAATGAGTCAATAAGGTTAGAAATGCCAAAACCATTCGATTGATGGATTAACTCCTAAAACTGAGGGCCTACCTCCTATCATTAACTACAACCTCATACAGGTATGGAGTAGAAACAAAATTTATGAAGACAGATGAGGTAAATATCACACCTGCGATTTCAGCAAAATGTGGGTATAGAAATAGTGCTACATTTGTAGCTTGAGAATGGAATCAAGTATCCAAGAAAAAAAATTCACATCACAAAAAAAATATTGTCTACACAAACCTGACATTTCATGACCTCTGATATGATTAAAATGGTATTTATGTTATTTAAATACAGCAACTGTACATTTCTGGTTTTTTGTTCTATTTTGACTTCCATCTCCATTCAAATTTAGCACCTGTATGTTTTAAAGGTATTTGTATCTATTGGTTTAAGGCCAACCTTCATTCTTTTGAAAAGCAGGTCGCGGCTCTTCTCCCCCATTGCAGGACTCTGACAGAAAACATCAATGACATGGCTGCCACAGGGATCACATGCTAGTGTGCGCAGTTCGGCTGGTGTGAGATCCAGTATTCCAGTGACCACTGTTTTAGGGTTTCCAAAGCGAAGCAGGTTTTGCATCAACACTGATCCATGATAATTAATATTCTTCAAAATCGGAACAATCTTTTTCTTCTCCTTAAATATAAAAAGCAAGAGAAACAATTGTGTTTTGATTTTCTCTGAATAATTGATAAAAATATGATTTGTTTTGCATAAAATAAGCTCTTCAAGATTGAGTTAATATCAATTTTGCTTAAATAAGCTCTTCAAGATTGACAGTTAAGATCAATTTTCCAGATAATCTGAATGCATACAAATAGTTTTACAATGTTTGTATTGTTTTGATTAGGCAGCTAATTTTGTCCTATTTTTTATGAACCTTACAGCAAACTTCAATATGGAATGAAACAACAGAATAAATCATTCGTACCTCGGTTTTCACCGATTTGTCGGTGTCGTCTGCATCCTCCTCAATACCAAAGTAGATTTCGTAGGTGGAGAGAGACAGCAGCAAGGGAGATAACTTTGTTTGTCGCTCCACCGGATCCAAACAATGAAATGCCCCCATAATGGACTGAATATGAGGATAAAAATCTATGAATAAGTATTCTCATGATCACTTCCTTTTGGTATTGATAATAAAAACTGTAATTAGTAATTACAGGTCATACGTTTATTTTTTGAAGAGAAAATAATTTCAGCCATTCTTTGTTTTCAACATTTTTTTATCATTATTAGACAAACAATTATGTGACTTATTCCAAATACAGTTGCATTAAGCCTCACTTTATCTTATTTATCAAACTCTGACCCAGTCACTCCATTTATTTGGATATGATCAAAGATTAGTTCAACAATTCCCCACTACAAAATATTGGAGGTTTAAAGTTTGAACTTTGGTCGTACTGTACTCAATTACCTTGGTGATATTACTGGCTTAACTAGGAGATGGTACTTCACAATGTTTCATGTAAATATACTTAAGAAAGACAGAGAAAAAATCTAATCCAATTATAATTATATAAACACAGTATCTCAAAATGTAGACAAAGCAATCCCCATCCCATCCTCCATACTCCAGGGGTTACGCTCACTTACACTCTCTGCAGAGTATGTAGACCGGATCGAAACCCTTGGCTAGCGAAGATGCCTCCATTCCTACCCCATTAAATTGTACATACCATGCATTGCCTATATGCTAATGGCTCAGACACATTGCTATGGATGAATTAATTACTGTAGCATTACAAAGAATGCTCTTCACTGGAACCCTCTGGGTCTGGGTAAGCAAAAATAGACGGAGGCTAAAGGTCACTTGGTTCAACCTGACATATCAATATAATAGGAGCAATGCAAAGACCTAATTTAATTAGATTGAATCAAAACTCCTTGCATTTGTTCCTCCCATATTTAGGGAGGCACCAACAAACTCCCTGCACTAGTCCTGCTCTACATCTTCTCCACACTAGTAGGAAAGAATATAAGGTCAGTAAATACATTTATGATAGTTCAATAACTGTTACACCAAAGTCTGATACTTGTAATTACCCTGACCATTTAGTCTGAAAGGTTTACTTACCCGATTAGTTTTTCCTGTTGGCATCCCAGTCTGAGAGGTGTACTTACCTTGACTAGTTTTTCCTGTCGACATCCCAGTCTGAGACAGGTTTCTGCCATCCTAGTGACCACACCCAGGTGATTGAGGGCCAGTAAATCCTCTAACAGAATGCTCAACTCTTCAAACATCTCCTCAAACTGTCACAAACAAAGCAAAATTGTAGGTCATCTGAACAATATGTAGTATTCTCATTGAAATTAATTTTTTTAAAGTTATATATTAACCTATCTAATAGTTGTATCTTAGTTTATATCAGTGTCCATCAGTGAAGGTGAGCCTTTACCACAATGTATACTTTCTAACCTGACAAATATATGTTTTTGCATAGTAACAGGGCTAGAAAATAAGACTAATGGAATGAATTTATTGAATTTCTTCATGTTAGGCCATACTTCTAAGCTCATAAAGACTTGATGTTTGCTTGAACAGACTGAATAGGTCATGTCATATTGATTAAGCAATGTATGTCCAAGAAAAAGAGTTTTGAAGAAATTGAAAATATTCTAAGAAACAGTGTCTTTGACATTTAATGAAAAAAAATATTCACTTTCATATTTCTATTCAATATTTAATTTAACTTTTAATATACTACCTCAAAAGGACTAAATGTTTGGTGTGGAAATTAAAAACTGGCAGAGATAAGGCACAAATATTGTTCATAATTACTGAGAAATAGAAATTCTTACAAGCTCCTTCTCTTTGACATTAGTCAGGAGTTTCTGCAGAATGAAATTGCCAACGTGGTGCATCGCATAATGAACAAGTTTTCCTTTGAAGACTTTTTTGTAGATATCTCTGTAGACGTCTTCAGACCCAAGGCTTAAAAGCTGTTCCACTAAGAAAGAACCAATCTCACTTGTCACTATTGGTGGTAGACTGTAAAACAATAACCAACAAATAACAAGTATGTTAACATGATCAGGTAAGTTGTTACATTATTGTTATGCCGAGATGTTTCTAGTACAGGTTAAGATATCTAAGCTATTATACATGGGGTGAAATAAACAAAAACACTAATACGTAATAAAATGTTCTCTACCACAAAAACATTGTCTATTTATACAATAAATACATGTCCCCTACCACAACAAATTGTCTAGTAATCATACAATGCATGGCTCCTACCACAACACATTGTCTAGTCATGATACATGTCCCCTTACCACAACACATTGTCTAGTCATGATACGGGGCCCCTACCACAACACATTGTCTAGTCATCATACATGTACCCTACCACAACACATTGTCTAGTCATTATCCATGTCCCCTACCACAACACATTGTTTAGTCATCAGACATGTCCCATACCACAGCACATTGTCTAGTAATGATACAATTCATGGCTACTACCACAACACATTGTCTAGTCATGATACGGGGCCCCTACCACAACACATTGTCTAGTCATTATACATGTCCCCTACCACAACACATTGTTTAGTCATCAGACATGTCCCCTACCACAGCACATTGTCTAGTAATGATACAATTCATGGCTCCTACCACAACACATTGTCTAGTCGTGATACATGTCCCCTACCACAACACATTGTCTAGTCATCATACATGTCCCCTACCACATCACATTGTCTAGTAATCATACAATGCATGTCCCCTACCACAACACATTGTCTAGTCATGATACATGTCCCCTCCCACAACACATTGTCTAGTCATGATACATGTACCCTACCACAACACATTGTCTAGTCGTTATCCATGTCCCCTTCCACAACACATTGTCTAGTCATGATACTTGTCCCCTACCACAACACATTGTTTAGTAATCATCCATGTCCCCTACCACAACACATTTTCTAGTCATTATACATGTCCCCTACCACAACGCATTGTTTAGTCATCATACATGTCCCCTACCACAACCCATTGTCTAGGCATGATACATGTCCCCTACCACAACACCTTGTTTAGTCATTATACATGTCCCCTACCACAACGCATTATCTAGTCATGATACATGTCCCCTACCAAAACACATTGTCTAGTCATCATACATGTCCCCTACCACAACACATTGTCTAGTCATCATACATGTCCCCAACCACAACACATTGTCTAATCATGATACATGTCCCCTACCACAGCACATTGTCTAGTAATGATACAATTAATGGCTCCTACCACAACACATTGTCTAGTTATGATACATGTCCCCTACCACAACACATTGTCTAGTCATGATACATGTCCCCTACCAAAACACATTGTCTAGTCATCATACATGTCCCCTACCACAACACATTGTCTAGTCATGATACATGTCCCCTTCCAAAACACATTGTCTAGTCATCATACATGTCCCCTACCACAAGACATTGTCTAGTCATCATACATGTCCCCTACCACAACACATTTTTTAGTCATTATACATGTCCCCTACCACAACACATTGTTTAGTCATTATACATGTCCCCTACCACAACACATTTTTTAGTCATTATACATGTCCCCTACCACAACACATTGTCTAGTAATAATACAATTCATGGCTCCTACCACAACACATTGTCTAGTCATGATACATGTCCCCTACCACAACACATTGTCTAGTTATGATACATGTCCCCTACCACAACACATTGTCTAGTCACCATACATGTCCCCTACTACACGAATTGTCTATTGTCTAGTCATAATACATTGAATTTTCTTGAAAATTTAATGAATACCTTAATTGTTCCTTTGTTTCTATGAACGTTTCTGCTGGAATTTTACACCTACCTGGAATCATCCTCCATTTCTGAGCAGAGATCAGACGTCTTGAGCACTTTGTACAGGTATTTCTGACCTTCCTCGTCCCCCTTCTGATGGTGAACCAACAGAAGTGTCTGTATGACTGGACTGACAGTGGGTGAACATAAGCTATCTGAAATATTGGGATTCTATAGATATTAAATCCTGAAGTTTAAATAGTATACTCTCAAGGTTTGTTTGGTTTGTTTTTGTAAGTAATTAAGATACTTTGTCTTTTCAAAGAGCAACAGAAAAATACTACTACTGTGTAGCCGTGTTTCAATAAGTGATCAGTTGTTACAATTAAACACAATCTAATAAACATGTAACAGTACTATCATACAAAATGTAATGGTACTACCATTTGTGGTAATGAGTTTATTAACAATGTAGTTCATGAGTCACGACATCTACCATCCAAGATTTCTGTAGATCTTTAGTAAATAACTCAATGTGAAATGTTTATTATTCATAGAGAATCCAGAGAATGGATTCTGTCTATCTCAATCAATGTCACTTAGTACAAAACAAATATCAAACCGCTGTGAAGTCCCTAACGATAAATATCGCTACAGCATAATATATTTAATTTTGAAATGAAACATAAATAAATTTGTTTATATTTTATCAATTGCACATGTCATTGAACAACAAAATGAAAGAAAATATTTAGCACATTGTATTTCCAAAATGGCAGCCCACATGGAGTCCAGAGACTTTTCCGGCTGGCACACATTTTAGAAGTTGTTGGGTATTAGATACTCTGGTAACGGCAACAAGACAATACCACGGGTGTTACGGTAAGGACAAACTGGGCAGGTATAATACAATAAGTGTCAGTAGTGTAATGAGTGACTTTGACACAGGACGGGTGCCCAATGCTATAAAACTTGATGCTGGAAACTAGCCAGATTTGTAAAATAATTATTCAAAATTTCGAATTTTTGTAAATAAATATTTTTGGCTTACCTTTAAAGTCATCCATCCGAAAAATTTCCTTTGTAATTTTTTTCAGCATCTTTTTAAATACATTTGGAGGATCAAACTTTTCAAACTTTGGTAACATGTTTTGTTGATTATCTGAAATTACAAAATGAGTTAAATGATGTTAGGTGAAATTTGTTAATATTTATAACCTAATGAGGGACACTAGCACTAGTCCTCTAGTCTGAGACAAGCAGATTTCAGCAAGGACAAATGACAAACCAAACCTAACTGGTCTTTTGGACTTATAAAAGAAAGTATATATATATGTTATCACAATATCATTTGATAGATAAATTATGAAAATATTCTTTTCAGAAAACTGCTTAAAATGCAGATATATATATTAGATGATTGTAGTCAAAATTTTCCTGAAACTTCCCCATACCTCTATGGCAGTATTTTATACATGTCCCCTACAGTCAGTTACTTCTCATGTTTTAGTGCTGGAAGTATACGTATTTTCTTCAGAAAATCTTGGACAAGTTAAATTAATGCAGGACTTGCAAATAATCTGTTCAACTTGACCTGTGGAGATATATACATGTACCAATCAAAAACAGTTAGTGTTAAGTTTTGTTAATCCTGGTAATGTTATCTTCAAAATTATATTTAACATTTATGTACAAAAGAAATAGAACACATGAACTTCTTTCCTCTCACAATTCAACATCATGAACATCTAAAAGTATTAAACCAACCTCTTCTTTGATTCCTCGACAGTCGACTTCTGATAACCTGCTCGTCTACTGCAACACCTGCCAAAATTTGCAGCATAACCCGCACAATGTGAGAACTGTATACGTCCAAACAGTTTGTTAAATTGTCCTTCAAGTAACTGCACAGGTCTAAGCACAAGTCCTCCATAGAAAGGTCATCCTCCGACTCCTCTGTGTCCTCAACACTCGGCTGTTTCTGCAGACACCTCGGCACTTGTGTTAGAGTGTTTTGTAACACATGACTGGCAAAGCGGTCAGTTAACATGTCCGACCAGTCAGACTTAAATATTTGTAAAAGAGTTCTGATGTGACTTGCTTCACTTAGTCCAATCAGTCTCTCAAATATACGGCTAGTACTTGCCAGGTGACACACTTTAATGCCATCCTCTTTTAGTTGACCAAAAACATTTTTCAGGAAGATATCTGTAAGAACAAAAGTTTGAAATTTTTACTTTGACAAATTGACAACCATTATGGGCTAATTAAGAACGGATTAACCTCAACCTTCATGGAAAAGTTTATTACCATGAAAGCTCAGAGGAGTTTGATAACCACGGTTATCTGACAGTAAATTATGTTGTTATGCTTCTTTATTCAATGACTGAAACAGTGCTGCTCAATCTCTTAAAATGCAACAGGTTAGCAAATTGACATTCTTTTTCGTCTACAGTACATGTAGATGATATTAGAAACTGAACTGAGGGACTACATTGATGGCTATATTGTATATCAGCTAGATGTACCATAGTGTAATGTGAGGATGGGTGTTCATTCAGCACCTGACCACGCTTCCACGCTTGATGTTGCTACACTAGAGAGAGCATTCCAGGGCTATACCACATCGCTGTCAAAGGTAGATTGCCAGTAAAAAAAAAAAAAAAAAAAAACAGAGAGAGAGAGGATACCATAATGAATTGTGCAAGGTGGAACCAAACAACCATTTACTCTGCCGTCGCTTTATCTAAACTTGAAACTGAAAATATACGCAGTGTATAGAATGTACTGTTCTGGCTGAACAATACTAAGAGTGCAATCTTCACATGTGAAGATATCATATTTCGTTTATCTTCACTGTTTTGAAGATACGTTTTTAGTAAATTAAGAATTCACGGTATCTCACTAGTAAAATATAATAAATGACGGATATCGTACGGGTTTACTATCATATTTTTGTAGATAGTATATGCGGCCTCCATTTCCCAGAAAGCTTTCACGCATGGGGAAGCACCAGAAGTGGACAAAGCTTTTACAGGGCTACATCGTGTATCCTGGTTGAAACGGTGTGGCGTAGAAATGGTATTTGGTTATATGGGCCCAAGGTAATATTGGCCAGGCCTATTTTACCCAAGTGAAATCGCCCAAGTTAAAATCGGCCCTACTATGTATCTATATGTTAAATACATGGGATTTATACATTTATAAGTAGAATTATATTTAAATAAATACATTAAAGGATTATTTTTGGTGTTGTTGTTTTGTTTTTATTGCCTTACACAAACAATGATGTTCGCCTACCAGACTGTTGTTATAGGTGAGTAGCTCATAATTAACTCTTGAGTACCTCATCACTGCCTCAACCTCAGGTAGCCAATCAAATGTATTGATCACTCACGCAAATGGTGATAAATATGACTGATTTTCTTGGACAATCACTTTTAATCGACTTACATCAATTGAACAACACTTTGCATCTAATCAACATGAGCGACAACTGTCAACATTGTGACCGTGTGGCGAGGCCTAGGCAGCATGCATTGCAGTGCGACACATGTAGCAGATGGCATCACAGGACATGTGATACTGGTATGTAATTCAAATATAGTTTCCATTTATGGCCGAAAATATGGTTTCGTTTAATAAAAAATACGAAAATTCTTTCGGCCATAAAAGGAATAATGTAGAAGGACAAATAGTAAATAATGAAATCAAGTTTCTTTAAATATGTATATTTCATTTATGGCCGAAATATGGTTTCCTGTACACGTAAGTCGACACGTTTTGAAAATAACTTAAATTTTCATTGTAGGTATATCTCTTGAGATGTACAGAGCCACCGTCCGAGGCGAGGGAGGGATCATCTGGTGGTACTGCCGCGACTGCCCCAACGATCCTCCTAGTAGTTTAGATGACACCGTCGAGATAATTCCAATAATCAAATCTAATTAAATATAATTAAATAATGTCAGTGTTTCAGATTACACACAAAATGATAACTATCTTACGCGACTATATAACAAATTACACTAGTACAGGTTACCTCCCCTTGTGGAACTCGCGACTGAGACAAGGAAATGCAGAAAGGAATTTATTAATTTAAAGATATATGTTCAGAGGTTGATATATAAATGAAACTCAAATAAAGGGATTATTATAACGTTTATGTATATTCCATGTATACATAGGGCCGATTTTACCTTGGGCCGATTTCACTTGGGTAAATCGAGGCCATTTTTACCTTGGGCCGATATAACCATAAATCGTAGAAATATTCCACGATAAACGAATGCACTAAGACCGTTCTATAAGCAGAGCTGAAAATACACAGTTTCGGAGAATAAAAAACAATGTATCAAGAATATTATGCCCTTCTTTCATTCGTCCACTGAATTACATAATGTATCGTACAAAGTACATGTGACTTGACATTGTTATAGAAATAACGCAAACTAGCAATAGTCAGCATTTTAGTTTTGGTCAGATACAATGTACGTCTGGACCCCTCAATCTACAGTCTACATGTGCCAAATTTTCCTGCAGTCAGCCTCCGTTAAGATCTGTACCTGTCGTTTTCTTTACAGGTTCAACCATTTCAACCAGATACACGAATGCACCCAAGATCAAACCCTGGCAGGGGTTAGCGCCGCATAGGGGTTTGAAAAAACCTGTTAGCCAGTAAGGCAGTACCTCCTCTCCATCTTCTTTGGCTGTTAATTTAAGTTTTGTTTATTTACCAATACAAGATCTATAAAAACCGTCTTCACCCCGACTCATTTTGTTTAACAAATAGCTATAACAAAGATCCATTTTCTCTTCATATGACAGGTCCAGTACACTCTGCCGATTGAGCTATATAGCTATAAAGACCTATATAGCTATATTCACCTATAAATTATAGCTGTATTGAGCTATATTTTCTGAGATTTCAATTTTCATTAAATTAAAGCAAAGTCGCATAAAACAATAAGGTTTATGGTAATGTTCACTGCAAAAAGCATACGATTAGATGTATATTTTCATTTTTCATAAATGTAAAAATTTCCGATTTTTTTACATCATTATTTTTTTAAAAGAATACTTATATTTCATGTCTTTTGTTATCAACCTAATGATATAATCTTCTTTTAAATGTGACTTTGTTTCGTTTTCCTTAAACAAGAAAATCACTCGAAAATAGCTCAAAAGACCTATTTCAGATAGGTCAATAGAGCTATTATAGGTCTTTACAGCTATATAGCTCAATCGGCAGAGTGTACTGGACCTGTATGATACAAGTTAACCGTTTATTATTATATTGTCTGTAAAACCTCAAGATGTACAGAAGTTAATCAGTTTGGAAATGATATAAATCAAAACTTTTTATCGATCCGGAGTCAGGCGATCAACTGATTTCGGACAAACCACCGTCCTTCGTCTTCCCTTATAAGTACAGGCTGTCTTCTGGCGTAATTATACCTTTATCTTCACTTGAAGAAAATTCTTCGTCTAGTGTTTCTGATACCCTTTTGTAGTAGTTGATTACTTCATCTGGTATTCTATCGGCCTTCTTTCTCTCTTGTGCATTGTCGTCCTCATTCTTACGCTTAAACTTTGACATTTCAATACAGTACAGCAGAGCAAAACAAACACACGTGTTTCGGTTTCACCGGAAGTGGAATTCAATTGAATACGAAAATGTCACTATTTAATATAAATTTTGAATGTTGTCTAAAAGATAACAAAAAAAGGTTTGTATAAGCTTTTTTTTTAAAAAAAAACCAAACTCAACTGATAACTGAAGGATCCTTTACGAATAATAGTGTGTACGAAACCATAGTACCAAAGACTTCCGGCATTAACTGGATTTCTGACATTTCTGACAGACAGAAGCAGCTGTTATATTAACATTATGCAGACATTAGGACAATTTGTACTTACCATTCATTTACATGTTTAAGTGAGTAATTTAAACACGTAACTTCAAATTGTATACGAACTAAGCAGAGTCGAGGCGTTTGTAAACACAACAATTGCCTACTCCGGAACTCCCACAGGAGTCGGAAGTTCTGTCAATAATGAATGATAACAGTAATACATTTTTTTTTACCTATAATATGCTTACAAATTTATTAAGCATATTATAAGGTATTTTTTGTATTACTGTTATTATTCATTATTGACTGAACTCCAGGCTCCTGTGGGTACTCTAGCTAATATAAGCTATCAGATGGCTATATTAAATAGATGAATATTATGAAATCCGATACTATCGCAAGAGAAACTGTCGCTGAAGACTGCATATTGAGGTGTATTCAAACACCGTTGTTAATTTTGTTGAATGTAATATATAACTTTGCTGACAATGAAATCAGGTGATCACTTTATGAATCACGGAAGCAGATTTATTCAAATAATTACAATTTCCTAATGGAATAAAAAAAGATCCAAAGGGCCTGATAATACATATATATGTAGTTAGATGTAAAGTGATATTATGTCCATGCAGACAACAGACAAAAATGTCACCCTCACTGCCTGCAAATGAGAAAATACTTCCATCACCAGATAACTATCTTGATAAATGACATTTCGTTCAGTTGACAAAAAATTAATAAATTCTTATTTTACTTGTTTATTTAAATATTTCTTCCAAAGAGCAATTTTCTTTGTATTAAAATTTAGCGGCAGCACAATTTGCCCAAAAAGACCCAACAAACACATAAAACACAAAAAACACACAAAAACATTAAATATACATAGATATTTATATTTCTGCTACCTGACATTATGTAACATAATGATGTTAACCATTAATTGGATAGTTAAAGTGACGCGAGTAATTTTAATATTAACAATACATATTTGAGTTACTTCCCCTGCAAACAAGTTTACCGTTTGCCTATTACAATGGTATTCTTTTCACTCTTTCCACATTAGTTGACATAGGTAGCCTTTGTTTATTTTGTATTTGATAAGTGCATTTGCTCTAAAGAGGATAATTATTGTTTGATGTGTTAAATTCGTACTTGTTTTTTTAAGGTTCTGATTATTTTAATCTATTTTGCGTTTGCAGAAAATTAGGTTACTACATTATGATATAAACTGAATATTATTTAAGTGTCGTCTGTGATTTTTTGTGGTCTTATCTGGATGCTTTTGGGGTCTTTTGGGGTAAATCGTGCCACCCAAAATTTCGGAAGAGTATGTTTGTGAGCTGCGAGCAGTACTAAGTATCACTGGTGAAAAGATATAGTGCCAAAATATAAGTGCCATTATGTTGTGATTCAGACTTCAAAAAAGTAACATTCCAATTCATACAAAATGTACAGAAAATAGAGAAAGTTTTATAAAAATACCAGACCTGAAGTCAAGACTTTTTAACAACACTTCAATCCAAATATGTTTTTACTGGAACGGCGTGGATTTGATTTCTAGTGTGGGAGGTAACTTGTATTTGACCTTTTAACAGGGTCTTCGGGTTATTGTGTAGAGTATAGACAGTAGATACTGTTTTGAAGCAGCCATGTTAAAAAATTTGGTTGTATACATCAAATTAAATGTTTCATGTTTGTTTGACAGGAAATCAACAATGTAAATCAGGTTTGTGGAAGGTTTTAATTACTGTATGTCAAGAAATTTTCTCAACAGATAAGTTTGATTTTTGCCTATTTCTCCCTCCGTAACGCGGGAAAGTTTATCATTAATAATAATAATATACAACATTTATTTTATGGGTTAAATGGTGAAAGTTTTCTGGTATTCAGTAGTAGAAATGGGAAAGTAGTTCCTGACAAACATTGGTATTAGAAATTAACAAAGGGCCAGTATTCAACACTCCACAATTCTAAAATTTGGAAACTGCAAGTGACAGAGTAGATGAAATAATTGCCCCTGACAAAGTGACAGATGTAAGCATACTTTATGTTTCAATAAAAGATGATGAGGGATCATGCAGGTAATATGTATACTCATATAATACTTGGTGATAGCCTCCAGCCGTAAGGAGCCACAATTGTATCAAATTCCAAGGCACCACACACCACTCCCTAATAACTGTGTAACGTGCGGGTGATAAACCATCTAACTACAGATCAAGTTCGACATTGCTGAACTAGTGAGCTGGTCCCCGGGTTATACCGCATCACTGGAATAGCTACCTTGCCAGTAAGGCAGTATTTTCCCTTCATATTCCTTAGCTGTTACAGTTGAAAAGCAAATAAGTAACCCAATGCATGGAACCTCTCCTTGTTATTAGAAAAAAAACTTATCAAACTGTCTTCTTACAGTAATGTTTTAATTTTGTTACTGTTCCAGGTAATGTCTAAATTGAAACACTATCCTGGTGCCATAATGATCTTGTAAATTAAGTAACAAGCAGTTGCTGTCCAAGTGTATTTCTGAAAGGCTAGAGACTGAACCTGAAAGTTTGGACCTTGTACCTAAAAACTTGACATCAGCCATGAAACTTACACTCTTTGACATCAAGTTTGAGAGCCAGCTGGGGGTTTTTGATGCTGGAAGTGAAATCATCGGACAAATCATCATAAATTTGGAAAGACCAATGAAGATGAGAAGTAAGGATGTTGTCTTTAAAAAAGTAGTATGTTTTTACTATACCTTTATTACTCTCTTGGGCTTTGTTATAAACATAATAAATAATTAGGATCTGTGTATGGCAGTGAGGAATATGTACTAGTTTTTTTGTGGTTTCTTATACATGTACTTGGATAATTTTTGAGAGACCACAATGATCTACTGCACCCTTTAATATAATTGGGACTGCCATGGCGCGGCGTCCGTCGTCGTCGTCTCCTGAAGATCTGAAAGGCCTAGAGTCATGATATTTGGCCAGAACCATCCTATAATGGAGCCCATCAAAGTTTGCTAATGAAAATGACCTTGATTTACTTTCAAGGTCACAGGGGTCAAATAGGTCAAAACATTCAAACGATTTCTTCTGAAGATTCGAAAGGCCTAGAGTCATGATATTTGGCCAATAGCATCCTATGATGGAGCCCTTTGGTAAAAAAGGGCTTGGCGCCAGAGACAAAGACTTTCACCTTTGAATGGATGGTGGTCAAAACTAATACTGGTTGGATCGATGTCAGTATAATGTAAACAGTTATGGTATCATTGCTACCATGTCCAGGTTCTGGCATCTCACTATGGTGGCAATTTAAAAGAATCCGTCAGTGGCCTTATCATTCTTGGACACCATCCTTATATGACCTTAGCTGTTGGTAAAACAATAAACAAATAACAACAAACAAAACTCTTCAACACATTTCTGAATATCCGATGCGTGTCGAGTCCTGCTCCTATTCCCCCCACCAGCATCCTGTGTTTGAGTTCAACAACATTTGCAGATGAATATGCCCTTGCCCTACATACACTTTCAAGGTCACAGGGGTCAAATAACTGTAAACCTGCGACCGCTTCTGAACATCCAATCAACCTAACATCACATCATTTGGCCAACAATTCCAAGTAACAAAATAAACGGGTGAGCGATACAGGTCCTTCTGGGCCTCGTATACTTTTCCTTTTGGTGTTTTCTCCCTGGGTGATATTTGTTTGATACACAGACTGGTACTGTTGTCAAAATAATACTGCTAATCGTTAGATCTTTGACATAATTGTGACCTTGCCCTTGGATGTATTTTGTTTTGAGTGGAAATTGACACCACTTCTTTGAGTGCAAACCCAACCTTCTGTAGAGAGTAATATCATTTTTCTGCGAAGAGTGAGATTATTTGACCTTTAACTATTACAAAGACATATATATCCCAAGATGAATAAACAAACTATAGTTAAAAAAGGTATTTAGTACCTTGTCTGATATTAAAATCACTATCTTCTAGTAACCTATATCCTCCTGTAATATGGACAAATTTGGAAAAAAAATAGATAATTAAAAGAGTTTCAAGAATATAAATCTTAAAATGTTGATGAATGGTAAAACAATATCAAATAAACAAACATGGTTTTTCTCATCATTTAATTTATCACCTTTTTTTTGCAGGAATCACAATTTACTTTGAAGGGAAAGGAAAGTCCTATTGGGATGTTCGGTCAGGGAAGCACACCACCAAATACAGAGGCCATGAAAATTATCTCAACCATACTATTCTCGTGTTTGGATCTGGTAATTATTGACTCATTTTAGCTAAAACAAAGTGAATGTGATGGTGATGTTTATATGATCTGCCTTTCACTGTCATAAAGTTTTCCTTTAAATGGCTGCTTCTGCAGAACTGTAAAGCCCAGAGTCATGATATTTGATAGATTGCTGGGATAAAGGGCAGTTAAGTTTAATTCAACTTTAAAATACCTTGACCCACATCTGGTGTCAAAGAAATTACAAGTGTTAAAGTCTTTAAACAGCATATAAAAATAGACCTAGGTGTCTGATGTTAAAACTAGAAGATCCACCTACATGCCACGCTTGTGACTCCATTTACAGTTTATCATTTTTTAATAGAATTTGTTCTGATTTTAGATGAATTCGTGATGTTTACTTTCGAGCCCTGAATATGAAAACTCTTTTCAGTTCCGTTGACTCAAAGGCATTACCGGTATTTAATTATTTGAAAGACCAGTCTTTTTTATAGACTCTGATATCTTTTAATCCACCTTACCCTCTTTGATGTTATCTACATACATGAATGATCACATATTTTATATATAATATATTCATTAACTAAGTAACTTTAACTATTTTAAACCCTTTCATATTTTAATTATTCACCCATACCATGCAAATGCTTTTAAAAATATTTATTTTATCTAATTTTATCTAGGTTACTCACATGTTTGTTTAAAAAATTACCATGGCCCTAAATGACCACAGTTGTAGATGGGCTGTTAAACATAAACAAACAAACAAACAAACTGATGTTCAGCCCATATTGTGATGGAGAGCTGTAGGGTACGTGGTTTCAAATGTCTTTAACAGATCTAGATCCAGAGCCAGTCCTGGAGTCTGGATATTTTGTCTACAGCTTACTAAATGAAAAGTGTCACATTTATGCAATTGAGTAAACTAACCTACATTTAAGGTCAAAGAGTAAATGCGTTAAAATCTAATAAATAGATATCTTCTGAAGAACTAAAGAGCCAAGAGTAATTACAGGTGTATACCTAACTGAGAAGATGAATTATTAGATTTAATCAGGCAAATGACCTTGACCTTGACCTCCTTACAGGTTTGTAGTGGTCAAATGTGTTTCAAAAACTGTGAGTCATATGTTTGTCCAGTTGCTTGCTAATTTCAATAATTTCAATATTAAGTATATTTCACCACCTCCAGAAGGTACAAGCCTCTTGGGCCTCTTCATTTATAACATACATTGTACTTTCATGTATTATCATTTTAAGAGAACATTGGTATATATACATTTGATGAATGGATGTAATGGAACACATATGGTTGTAAACAAAGAATTGTGTCTGGTTGCACATGTGAGCCACATCTGTGATAATTTGGCTGTTAACTTTAATACCCAGGTTAAATGTGAGGGAAGTGACTAACTAATCCTAGGAGTAGTCTGTCAGATTTGGAACAAGTTTTTGAGTTTATTGATCATTTTTACTGATTTGGAAAATTTGTTCCAAAAACTGGATATCTGTATTGTGATATTTCAAGACTAAAGAAGCCCTGACTAAAGAGATTTGACTGTACATGATCACTGACTCTTGAAAAATGTCTACTTTCAATGGGTCAGTTTATAAAATATAAAAAAAAGAAAATATAAAAAATTAATAATAATTAAATCAATTAAAAAAGAGCAAACACCCACCTCCAAAAAAAACCCCAAAACAGCTTAATAAATCTTTCATTTGGAGAATAATGATGAAGATAAAAAGCAAATAAAGAAATACTGGTCAAACTACATATTAACATTTTTTGTTTTGTAGGTCAGAGTGCAGATAATGTGATAGAACATCCTGCGGGACACCATGTTTACCCCTTCACGCTCCCCCTCCCATCAACAATACCATCCTCCTTTGAGGGTCGCCGTGGTTACGTCCGGTACACATGTAAGGCCAATATCGACCGGCCCTGGAAATTCGATGAGAGTACAAAGAGAGCGTTTACTGTCATTCGTCATTTGGATCTCAACACCATACCTAATATCCTGGTAAGTAGAGTTCGTGTTTATACAGTGTTCCAACTGATTTTTAATTTTGGGGTATATTTGATACATTTTCAAGATTCTGAACCCCTAGTTCTTAACTATGTCAGCTAGCAATTCTTGAAAACTGGGGGTGTAACCAACTGTTTAGGGGATGAACAACCCTCATTTCGGGGTTTCTGGGAACACTGTTATAGCTAAGGTCAGCTTTATATTTTTTATAGCAAATTCATAAATATTTGCATTATGATAAAATAGTGACACATACAATGTACCACTGACATATTCATACCCTATTAGCTAGCGAGGTTTACAGCAAGAGATCAAAGGTTAAATTTTCTTATTGATTGTGATTGTACAGAAGATAACCTTTAAACTACAATAAAAAAAACACCTTCATACATAGATATTTCACCCCTAGACAGTAGGTCACGTACAAGAAAAACATCCCAAATGTCAACATCACAGCAAGGATCAAATGTTAAATACTGGTCATAGTGGTGTAGGAACCATTTATCTGATCAGGAATAAGTTGGAAAACAAAATCAAAGATGGATTCATCATAGCTGGCCCAACTATTTTGCATTCAACTATCATTCATTTTCACCTTCTAATTAAAGTCACAGAAAATGATAGGTCAAATGGTTATAATGCGCGGGAAGCAAATAAATGAAATCTTGATGGAATGGCTCCACTAGTACTCCTATTCCGTCTTTGCGTATTGCAGAGTTATCTTCTCTTGAGAGCAGGTATTGATTGTTACGTCACTTGTTTGTGAGAGTAACGTCATCAATTTTTGAGAAAACGACGTAATTTTCTCGCACAAACCAATGACGTAACAATCAATACCTGCTCCCAAGAGAAGGTAACTCTGCAATACGCAAAGACAGAATGTCTGTTCCAAAATGTCAAAAACCAATTGTACACTGGGATCATTGCAGGATTCTCCTAGGCAACAACTATTGAAGGACTGAATTTTTATCGACAAAGCTATATGGATAGTCATTGTATATTGCATACCAATCTAATTCTTGTTCTGTCCAGGTCAATGTCACAGTTTGAGGACAAGTGTTAAATAATTCTAGATGATTACTTGTGAACAGTTGACGATATTCTGATCACTTGATGTTATGTCTTGGAAGCACACACTGCTGTTTAGTAACACATCTTGTTTCTGATGGATTACAGGAAAATAAATTTTTGAATATTTTAAGTGGTATTAAGATTAGAAAATCATGTTATAATATATTACAATATATAAGTCTCTAATGCAATATATTCAGACACATTTCTTTAAGACTCAAAAGTCCCAGAAAGAAACAGGTCCCAAACCCAGAGTTTTGAGGTAAAGCTGACATTCAGAAAAAAATAAGATTTTATTTTTTGGTAATTATGACATTTTGATATAATTAAAGCATCAGAAAATGTATCAATGGAAATTGCATCTTGCTAGCTGGGTCAAAACATACCTGGTAATAAATCCTTTTAAACCTAAATCTAACTTAAAACATGGGTTTCATGGATACTTCAGCTCCCCGATTATCTACAAAGTTAGAGGCCAACAGTGGTTGTGATAAGCCTCAGAAACTATATAACACTGAATTTTATTACTTTAGGTCAATGTCAAAGGTCAAAATGAGCTCATAGTGACCTCATTTATGGTACGACGCACTGCCTTCCCATGATGAACCTATATTCAAATGAACATAGTTTGATATCCATTATCATGATTGAGAATGGCACCTGAATTTCAGTTGATGTCTGCTATAATATAAGCATACACCTAGCCCTTCACTTAATACATTTTCTGTAAAATTAACTCCTGTAAATGTCTTCCTCAATATACATGTATAATTAAGTCCTGTTTTAATTCTGATACATTTTTTTTTTGTAATCTTATTTATTTTACAACAATTATGGAACAAGTTATTTCAACTTATATTAATCACTCTTGTTGGCCTGGATGTAAGCGTGTGTAGGGTCTTTAAATGTGGGATGAAACTGGAGTACCCAGGGAAAGGCAAGTGCGCTATCCACTGCACCACCCGACCACCCATTCCAATACTTCCCTGGATATATACTATATGGTGACTGTATATATAGGTTTACTGCACATTACTGTTTATTTCATTGTATAATGATGTTATTTTCGAAAGATGCCTGAGAGGTTGGTAGAACAGGAAACTATCCAGGGCTGTTGTTGTGAAGAAGGCAAGGTCAAGGTGACCTTGGGAATCAACAAGAGGGGCTATGTTCCAGGGGAACATCTTGTTTATGACATTGAAGTGGAGAATAACAGTGAAAATACCATCTCCTTCCTCAGCTTGGAACTCCGACAGGTCAGAAATACTGCTTATAATAATAATAATAGTTTTAGGTTCTTATATACTGCTTTATCACAAACCTAGTTTGTAGGTCGTCTCAAAGCGGTTCACAAATTATTATCCATGGTTATAGGGCCTTTGAAATCAACCAATATCTTTCTCAACTCCCTGGGGAGAATACAGCTGGTGCTGCCATTTTAGCACTCACAGCTAGCATTCTACAATTCTAGCACTGCCCAACCACATACTCATTTACAGCTGAGTAGACTAGTACTGGAACAAGCAGAGTAAAGTATCTTGCTTAAAGATACAACACAGTGCCGTGCCATGACTCGAACCCGCAAATTAACCCTTTGGTCATGATCGAGCCAGGCGTCCTACCACTAGACTACCATGCCTCCATAAAATGTCAGGAAAATAAAACTCTGCGCCTCAGAGGCATTATATAGCTAGAAATTGTTTCACTTTTCAGCAAAATATTGAAAAAAAAACCCAGGTCAAATTTTGACAATTACATTTAAGAGAAAACTGATTTCAACCGTTTTATTTTCGACATCTTTTAGCAACTAGGGCAGCTTATTTTAACCCATTCACCCCTAAAGTCATATTTAAACCTTACCAAATCAAAGATTGGTGCAAGTCCAGTTTAGATATGCAGGGGTGAATGAGTTAATAATGAATGGCATGTAGAGCTCTGTTTGTTTAGAGACAAGGTATAGACTGTGAAGAAATCTGTTTCTAGTACTTAATAAGTATTAGAAAACCAGTGTATGATTCGGTTGCTGGGCTCATTTTAAAAAAAATCTATCACCAAACTCAGTTGCTATGGAACAACTACCTGGTAAACATCTCTTTCGTCTTTTACCCATTAAAATTAAAATGTGTTAATTTTTTACAGTGTAATTCCAAATTGATATCATGTGCCTTGGCCAAAGTGCACTTTGGATCTGAAAAAGCCAGTATTGTATTCTCAACAGTGCAAACAAAATGGTGTTTTATGGGAAAATGATATTTTTGTAGGAAGCAACTTACACTGGGTACTCTGACAGCTTGTTTTCCTCGGGGAATCCCCACTACCATCAGAAGGTGGATACATTTAACCTTGTCAGCGGAAATCTATCTATTCCCCAAGGAGCAACCAAGACCTTTCACCAGGCGTCTGTAGTGCCCTCCTTACCGCCATCGAAACTGGAGGGCTGTCAAATTGTGGATATCATCTACAATGTTGTGGTGCGTTTAACCAAATTATCGTACTTACAACAATAATATGATATTACATTTTTTTTATAATATTACATTGTATTACAAGTGTATATATATGACCTTAATTTTTCTAAAGGCTGTGTGGAGTTTTATAGTGAGTTTGATGTTTTAATATTGACAAAATATTTCTCTATTGCTGGATGACTATCTACCATATTTAGATTAAAAAAAATATTGAAAGGGATTTACTTCAACATGAGCTTTAATTAACCCTTTCACCCTTATGTAACTTTAATTTAACCCTACCATACATTGATCTGGATAAGTCCATTATGGTGTACAGTGGTGAAAGGGTTAGAACAAATATGGTAAGAAACTTGCAGCCCAAATAATTAATAATGAGGTAATACCAATGGACAAAAAATAAAACTCATAATCTCTGCTTATTACACATTTATGTATATATTTATAAATACATGTGAAAGTGGGTCAAGGTTATAGTAAAAGGTCAAATGTGAAGTCCTGATGTTTGTCCATCTATAAATTTCATAATATTTTTACCAAACTTTGTAGATGGATTCACTGTCACCAGAGATACTACACCTTATACCACCTACAGGTTCATATTCTTATGGTCAAGGTTCATAAAAGGGGCCAAATGTCAAAATATTATAACAAATGTTGGTCTGGATCTGAGCAATATCTGCTAAATTACTTGATATTTTTTATGAAACCTCAAAGATAGGTGTATTATTTTTACGGTATAGCTAGATATTTTTGTCAAATCAAATTTTCACTCTTCAGCGGTAAAATTCTAATTTTTCTAGTGTCTGAACTTTGCCCTTCACATGTGATTTCTTCTGTATACGCTGTATACAAAGTTCTCATATATGCTGTCATGATCAATTGGTTCATTACAGAGGGTGAAAAAGGCAAAAGTTCAACTACAGTGAAAAATTTCCCGGCATACACTATATAGGTGATGTGGTGCACACAGGAACATTACATATTCCAAAGGTCAAGGTCATGGGAAAGGAAAGGTTGATATATTTTAATGCATGTTCTAGTTTATAGATTACTCCTAACTAGACTGTGTTGTGGTAGGTCCTGTTTTTGTTCAGAAATACTTCCCTTGGTTTTTCCAGCTGAAGGTACCATGTGGCTGGTCAACACTGAAACTTGTGCAAGGCATCATAATTGGGACAATTCCAGCTAGGATGCCTGCTTACACACCACCTACAGTTCCTTCAGCTCCAGACACTGAATTCTCCTCAATAGGCCCTGACCCAAGCATGCAACCACCTGCATACACTGCACCAGATGAGCGTACGTAATCCTTCTTCAAGATCATTGATTCATAGGTGTTTTAATTTGTCATGTTTCAGAGATCCTCACTCAGTCTCAGGTTTGACAGGTCCTTTGTCAAGATTTGGAAGTTAAAGATTATGCACAAATTTGCTCAACTTTGAACTTTCCCCCTGTGTTTCTACATAGTGTAGATTTAGGGTTCAATTAGAGGTCTCTACCAATATCATGGTGAAGGATACAAGTCCTTGATGAAGATCAGGTCAGGCTGTGCGTTACATTTAACTGTAACAGTTTAGATCATACTTTGCATTCTTTGTTACATGTGATGTTCAGTCCTGTCATCATCTTTGGTCTTTACACGTGTAAGTGTATTTTAAATATTTTCTAATTCCGTTGCAGCTCCTCCCTCATATGCTGAGTGTGTATTTGGCCGTGTGACTATTCAGGATGAAAACGATGATGAACATACAGGGGGAGAAAGTTCATGGGCACCTGCATACCCGTACTACGATTGGAGTCGTCATAGCAACCAAACATACGGAGGTGCACAAGCCACCGTACCACGGATGGCCCCTCCTGCCTATGGCGATTAACAAAGCTTTCACGTCTGTGTAATATTAATGTCACATAGGCCTCGATATTGTGTCCTTCATTATAAACTGTTGTGGAAAGTGTATTGGAATTAAGTCACCGGAGACAAAGTCTCATGTGGCCTATTGCGACTTTGCGTATTGCAGAGTTATCTTCTCTTGGGAACAGGTATTGATTGTTTCGTCATTGGTCTGTGTGAGAAAATTACGTCGTTTTCTCAAAAATTGATGACGTTTCTCTCACAAACAAGTCACGTAACAATCAATACCTGCTCCCAAGAGAAGATAACTCTGCAATACGCAAAGACGGAATTGTGTTAACTGTTAACTTTTGTCCATGATCGCCCATTGCTGTCCATGACCATTTCACATGATGGACTTCTAAAAATTCATGGAACATATTCCAATACAATTTGGCAGGAAGCTTCCATGGACAAAGACAAGTAAAATATGTGAATTAATGAATATCACCCTCTGGAAGCCCAAGTGCATGACCAAAAGGGGTGAAATGTGCTAAAATTTAAAAAAACTTATAGGGTAAGAAAATTCTTGGGTTTATTTTATTTATTTTTCTGTGGGTCGGAATTGTTATTATGAAGTGATAGCTGTTAAATTGTATGGAAATTGAGACACTTACAAAAAGAATTGAAATGGTTTGAACAAAGTTATTTTTCTCAAGGATCATCAGACTGAACACTTGAGATTGGAGAAGACATCTGACTTTTGACAGTTACCAGCTACATATTGGTCACTCCCAGACATAATTTTGTTGGGAATTCCAGGTTAAAATACTTGATTTGGAGTCTATGTTCTATATGTTTTTGTCTTATCACAACAAATTACAATTATTTTTCAACTCAGGTAATCATGGGCCTCCTCATACAAAATTCTTTTTTTTCCCAAACCAAATTGCATACCAGTTTTAATATCATCTTGCAATAATAAGCTCATGCATGGTACCAAGCTCCCCTATATTTGTTGTAGGTCAGCAGAAATGCTAACAAATGCCAAATTGTTTTCCTGTAACAAGCCAACCCTAATTTTAGTCAAATATAAACTAAAATATAGTTTATATAAACAAAAAGATATTTGATTTTAGTCAATTATAATGTATTGCCCCGCCAGGACTTATTGCGTTATAAATCAGTAGATGTCTTTTTTAAATGAAAAAGATAATTTGAATCACTTTTTGAATAACAAACTAAAATTTAAATAGTACTTACTTTGAATCTCTATTGAATAAATGAAGTGATATATCAATTCTGTGGTAGAGCTACAGAATTTGATAACTATATATATAATTAGACAAATGTTTCAGTTTTTAACAATAAACCAGACACCTGGTCATTGTGCCCACTACTAGTATGTAATTAAAATACACTTTACATATTTAAACAGGGTATTATATCATTGTATGGTCATACACAATGCACTAGATGATGATATTGTCATCAGTTCCAAGCACCATAAAACATGTTTTAAATGTAACTCCCATATACTTGCTGTAGACATTATAGGTCATAACTCTGAGAGGGAGACCGCTTTTGTGATACATTGATTCATACTTATTAGCCACAGGGATATTGCACAGATCTCCACCCCACAGTTTGTATATATTATACATGTATAGGGGATATTTACTGGTTTCAGTCTGAATACGATATATATATTTCACGATCATGAAAGAAAACTGATATTTTTGACGAGTGCAAAATTAATATCAGGAAAGAAACAAAGAATCGTGTTTCCCTACAACAAGGGCAGGAGATGTATAATATATCATGATGTACATATAAGGATTGTACAATGAGAGGTCTGTGCCATCTGTGCATAAAACCATCATTTTGTGTTCTAATTGCCATAGTATGCCTCACTGTTATGTTTTATTACTTTCTTGGGTTGTTGTCTATTTCTGTTATTATTATCTTAATTATGCTATATTTTTGTAAACTTATAGAAAAAATAATTATTAAGTCATGATACATTGATAATAATAATTACACAAATAATCTGCCATTCTGACTCGCAACTTAATTAAGCACTCAAAACAAAACTGAAATCATAACATAATAATTACTGGTTGTTGGTTGGTTGAATATCTGCCAACGATGTGTGCATGCATGCTGTCCACGTTCTGCAGTGAATAAGTCAATATTCAAAGCGGAGTCAATTTTATTGAACTGTTTATTGTTAGCTGATTTTGTTTAACATGTCTGCCAACTACATAACCAGGAGGGTACTTTGGGATCAAATTTTGGATCTACTGACTTTTTACAACAGTTCTTTTTATTTTGCTCTACTAGCTAACATGACACAGAATTCACGATCTGCCGTCGTCATTACAACACCTGGGATCAAAGTGTTTCCTTTCTTGCTCAGTTGTTATTTTTTCCAATCTGTTTTCTTGACACCCATCACCATATGACATATGAGTGTTGTAATGGCGTAATTTGACTACAAGGCAAACCTGTACAACTCATTTGTCAACAATCATTTGGTGCCATTCATATTGTAAGAAGTGCATGTTCATGTCTTTTAATTTCTTTTTTTTTGTATTAAAGCAGCAGTGTGTTTTTATACATTTACAACCAATTATTTTGTGACTGCTTTTTAGGTCTTTTATACGTGAAGTTGACTTATAGAAACTTACTGTGTTTGTGGCATCATTCTTGTTCACCTGGTCTAGAAAATATATATTTTATTTATCCTGAATATTGTAAAACTTCATCTGAATAATCAGAAAAGTATCAGCATATAAGATTTTATATTTTTCGTATTTTGTCTAATTTACTTGTATGGTATCATATATTTCCTATAATTATAATGTGTCATGTACCTGGCATCTTCGCTAGCTAAGTGTTCGCTTCGTATACACTCCACTTACCCTTGGCGGATATAGCCGTGTTTAATTTACCGAGCCTTCAAATATTCGTGCAGTGCCAATCGCTTGTATCCAATGAAATCACGTCATACATGCTATAACCGCCAAGGGTAAGTGGAGTGTATACGAAGCGAACACTTGACTAGCGAAGATGTATACCTGGAGAATATCATATTCAAGAAGTTTGTAGTTTAGACATGGTTACAGTGAATGTGATAGATCTTGTAACATCACCTCTGTCTAAATGATGCATGCTGTGGTAGTCAAGTGTGCTTTTTGTGATTATTATATTGATATTCTGATATACAAATTATCATATGACTATTATACATCATTTTTTAAATAAACACAAATGTATATTGAAATTGTCTGGAATGTGATTCAGGGTAATTAGGTGTGATGTGCACTAGCATGTGTGCTCTAGTTGTTATATAAGGGTTCCTGTTTTACTGCAAATGACTGAACTGTCCATCAGGAATTGTTGTTTCTGCTGACTATGAAATAAATAAAATAAATATGTAAAAAAAAAACAAGTGTTCTGACCAACTGAGCTATCTGGTCAAGGGAAGTATCCTGGTCAAGTCATGTTAACAGTTATATCCAGAACAATAGGGGAGGTTACTGTTTACACGTAACGCAAAGTGTGATTCTGTCCTGTTTTGCTTGCTCTGGGACTGGAATCATTAAGACTCTTCATCAGATTTTCAAATATTATGATTTAAAAAGTGTTGCAGAGACATACATATTTTTGTATATGTGATCTGGCAGTGATTTGTTTTTAAGTCATTCATTCGTTTTCAGTTTTGAGATCCAGTTTAATTTGAAGTGAAATTTAACTCATTATAGCCTGCAGCTGTGTGGTGGATGTACGGTTAACTATAATAGTTGTTTTACAGGTGCTTTTATCGATTTCCTTAACAGAATTATATAGCTATGTATGAGATATATTTTAAACATAACTGATCAAACTTTTTCTTGATTTTCCTCACCTTGTTTTATCTAAATATTATCATTAACTGTAAAGTGACAGATTTCTATTTAAGTCTCATTGAGGTCTCTAATTTCAATACCAAATGTTTATTTGGGTTCAATAACTTGCCAAACGTGTCTCATTATGTTGTGAAATCTTTAATAGGATCTTACTATTTGCTAATTGTTAGCTCATCCTCATTCAACTTCAATGAAATGATTTTGTATGCATAGTATGAATATACATGAAAAATATTACTGCTAATGTTAGGTCTGTGCTTGTGATGAAAAGAGAGAAATATTCACACTGACAATCTGTCTCCAAGTTGTTAAGCCTTCAAAACTAATACAGACTGGGTTTTATATCCTATCAGGTGCTCTGCCATCTTCGATTCTCCAGGGGTTACGCTCACTTTCGCTCTCTGGGAATATGTCAGCAAAATTGAAGGCGCCCAACTGGTTTTTTGCTATGTCTCGGGGGGGAAAAAAACCTGACCAATGGGAAAGGTTGATACCGGTCCTTTGAAGATTACAGAGGAGCAAAACCTGACTTCAAAGCCAGTCAATTTTACCGTTATGTGACTGACAGATTCTTTTATGTACATCAAAGGATCAATCTAGTCTTCTCGCCTCATCTACAAGGTGGTCACATCAAACTTTGAATTTTGCTATGACATATTCCAGGAGTGCACATCGAAAGTGAGTGTAACCCCTGGAATATCGAGGATGGTGCTCTACCTGTCTTTATTTACAACATATTCATTGTTTTTCATTAGTATTTAAAGGGACATCACGTGAAAAGGCGGGGTTTTTTTTAATGAATGTATGTATTGTATGCACTTCCACTTATGTTACCTCGCTATCCCCATATTCATAGTCCGTTCCAAATGTCCAGTTTGACCACTTGAATTGTTTGGGAAAGCCCGGCTAAAAATAGCGCCGATAACGTCACCTGATTAGGCAGCAAACACAAGTGGTGCGAGCGAGATGAAACGGTTTACAAAGGGGCCCTCAGAGAGGGGCCGTCAGGCAACTGCAACTTCTTACCGCACTATGAAACCAAGTTATATGATTTCTAATTCCGTATTCAAACTTATTGAACAGTAATTATTCATCATCAGAAGTTAATTGCACACTTGCCAATATTAAGAATTTAAATTTATTTAGCTTTTAACATAAATTTGTTGCCAATAAAATTAAACAAAGGATGGGGCACAAGTTTTTACAATTTATCACAGCCTTCTCCCGTGACCGGTACAGGTGGTACGGGGCTAAACACTCCCTCAACAATGGGACAAACCTTTCTGTAAAAAGGAATATTCACGAGACGAATATCCCTTTTCAAATGTTTAC